AGGGCAAACCTTTTGCCAACTTACGCAATTTTTTCCTTTCTTTCATCTGCTTTTTCAGATTTTTGCTAAATAATCTCGCATAACCTGTTATTGCATCAAACACTGCAAAACCTGCAGAATATTGAGGTTTCAACACTCGATTATTACTTCCGCGACCATTACAAAGTAAATGAGCGATTTTCGCTGCAAATTATGACGATTCTGAAACATTGGTTACATCAGTGCGCACTCCTGAAATTGAGAATTATTGCTATTTTCTTCACAGATTTCGCCTGTCTCTGCAAAAAAAAAAACAAGCGTTAGAAGGAGGAGAAAAAGTTGAGTCGAATAGTGACTGAAGTGTTCAACATTTCATGTTCTACGAGGTTAAAACAGGCTGAATGTAAAATTTAGTCGCTTTAAAAAATAAATCGTAGAAATTCTGAAAGACAAGCCGTAGGGCTACAAAAAACTGATTTTGTTGGCAAAAGGTTTGCCCTATCTGCTGGTTATTGAATCTCCTCCGAAAGTCGCATACAAAAATATTGAAAATTAGCGAAACTTGGACATGGTAAAAACGAGTGGTTGCAATTTGCAGCTAATATCTCATCACTCTCTCAACTAAGCACAATGGGAGTTTGGCAGTTGGAAAGAGGAAGAAATCCTGCATCGGCTGCATTTCGAAGTGTTAGTTTATCTTCATTCTAACGTGTTTGACGATGGATTGAAAAAACTGACAAAACTTTTGCACCGACCTAATATATCATGTTACTATTCTTCTCCTATCTTTATTCTTTTGCACTGCATTGCAAGATCATAATGCAAACAGCCGATAGAAAATGTTAAAAAGAACTTTTCATATATTTGTTTTGCAAAGCTACGCTAGCATTAACGTATGGTCCGTTAAATGCAAAAAAGTGATCTTTATCTTTGTTTCTGTTATAAAACCTATCAAAAAGCTAAATGCCGCTTGAGCGAAGATATGAAAGGTTCAGAAAAAGTATAGAAGGTTCCAAAGCCAACTGGAGAGGCGAGCATTCCGTATAGCAGTTACAACGAGAAAAAGAAAATAAGCACCATTGTTCTAACTGAAAGTAATAAAATCTATCAAATCTGCAAAAAAGTACTCAAAATTTGCAAAAGAGTAAGCATATCGAAATTGTGTTTCCTTCGGTCACAGATATGTGTTCACAATTATATAACCTAATCAGTCATTGTAAAAAACCTAATATAGACACTGTCAACCAGGCCTTTTTAAGAATGAATACTGTGCAGTCTTTTTCAATTACAAAAAAGTAGAATTCCAGAAATTTGAAGTCTCATTGATTGCAGGCAACTCTTTGCACTCAGTTATGTTATTTAGAACATCAAATCCTAGAAATAAGAATTTTTTTAGCTGTAATAAACATAAAAATTTCGCCTTGTTATTATATCATAAATTAGTTTTTCAATTTTCATTGAGTCATGCTTTACTTTTTCTAGAACCAATTGTATCTGAGGTATGAGCATTTCTTTCATGAATCCGCATGATCAAAGTGAACTCGTCGTGCAGTGCAGTATATTTCTTGCAAGAGGCGAGAGTTGCAATTTGCTAGAACTTCCGAGAATAAATGCTTTGAAAGCAATTATTCTAAAATTATTTCCGCAATCAACGTCTAACTGAGATCAGCAGCTCACGAGGTTGTGCAAATTTTGTAGATTAAGAAATTGTTATTTAATGTAATGCGCTTTCACAATTATGAGAAGACAAAATAGTAATAAGTGTGAAGAGCAAACCAATACATCGTATCAGAGGGACTAACTTCTCTTTATTTGCTGCATATAAATAGCAATTAGCAGTCTGAAAGAGGATATAAGCTGAGTTTGCTTCAAATTTGATCCCACAAACAGTTTGGAGAAATAAAAGTTATTTGATCATGCTTTTGCGTGACGATTCAGTGGGCCTAGCATGGCTAGTAATACTCTATATGAACACTGAATACATATAATGGCACAAATGATGCAGCGAAGCATACACCAATATTAATTACTATGAAAGGCATAAAAGACAATATAAATCAATAACCAATACAAATCTCCTCCCTGGGAAAGTTCTTGATATTACTCAAATTGCCATCTTTCTGCAATCGTTGGTTGGTCTTTTTCAGCATCTGCTTGTGATTTTGAAAAAGTCTTTTTACATAAACTTCAAACGGAAGTCACTAGTTTCTGCACTCCAAGGATCGAGGCTTAAAGGTAGATTGAAGGTACTAACCGCTCGGTGTTGTCTGCAGCGGAATAAGGGAGTTAAATTCATCATCGAGCCCTATCCCACAAATAAAAATAATTTCTCCTTAATTAGCGCCACATCATCTTTATTCTTAGAAAAATGAGAGACACTATCCTTGTGCAAAAGACTCGAGGAAAAATTACGAATATTGCTGTCTCTTTAAATGGAATGTTCCAGATTTAGTATTAGTGAAATGTTAAAAGTGGTGTTAGCATGTAGTTCTGTTATTTCTAATCTAATGCAAATATATGCAATTCTTATTTATCGGAATAAAGCTTAGGGCTAATATTAGCCACACTTTCGTTCACATTGAGTTTCTAAGGTTCCCGTAAACAATGTAGCAGCAAAATATTAGGTTGGTGCAAAAATTTTCTCAGTTTTTTCAATCCGTCGGCAAACACGCTAAAATGAAGATAAACAAATATTTCAAAATACATCCGATGCAGAATTTCTTCCTCTTTCCAGCAGCTGAACTCCTATTGTGTTTCGTTGCGAGAATAATGAGATATTTGCTGGAAATTGCAATCATTCGTTTTTACCATGTCCAACTTTCACAGTTTTCAAAATTTTTCTATGAGACTTTCGGAGGGATTCTAATAACCACCAGATAGGGCAAACCTTTTGCCAACTTATGCATGCATTTTTTTCTTTATTTCAGCTTCTTTTTCAGACTTTGGTTGGATAATTTTCTAAAGTGTTGTGTTTTGGAAAAATCGCATAACATGTTATTGCATCAAACACTGCGAAACCTACAAAATACTAAAGTTTCAACACTCGATTATTAATACCGCGAACATTACAAAGTAAATGCGAGATTTTCGCTTCAAATTACAAAGATTTTGAAACATTGGTTATGTCAGTGCGCACTCCTGAAATTGAGAAATACTGCGATTTTTTCCACAAATTTCGCATGTCTCGGCGAAAAAAGACAAGTGTTAGAAGGAGGAGAAAAAGTTGCATCGAATGTTGACTGAAGTGTTTAACATTTTATGTTCCACGAGGTTAAAATAGACTGAATGTAAAATTTGGTCACTTCAAAAAATAAATCGTAGAAATTCTGAAAGACAAGCCGTAAAGCTACAAAAAAATTGCACTAGTTGGCAAAAGGTTTGTCCTATTTGCCGGTTATTAGGGCTCCTCCGAAAGTCTCATACAAAATTTTGAAAATTAGCGGAAGTTGGGCATGGTAAAAACGAATGGTTGCAATTTCCAGAAAATATCTCATTATTCTCGCAACGAAACACAATGAGAGAAAGAGGAAGAAATTCTGCATCGGATACATTTTGAAGTGTTTGTTTATTTTCATTCTAGCGTGTTTGCGATGGCTTGAAAAAACTGACAAAACTTTTGCACCAACCTAATATATGATTGCAAAGAAAAGGAAATTACAGAAATGGCAGCACAACGTAGATTTCCAGTGACTCATTATGCGTATAGCAAAGATATGTAGCTGCTACCAAATTAATATTTTCCGAATGAATTTCACGGCATTCTATTCACATAGATTCTAAGTATTTTCACATATGACATTTTGTAGAGTGACATACGAGATTTGTTGAGCATCGAGGAACACTTGCAGCAGCTCTTAATCCTAAAAAAAGGTAGTTACTATGACAAACCATTGTTTAGAAAAATGATTTTCTTTACCACTTAATGGAAGAGGAACGTACTTGATTACAAAAAAAGCTTTGTGTGGAGATCATAAAGAGGTGTTTTCTACATATGCAATGCACTCAGTTTTAATGAATGAATTGAAATAAAAGGCATTATCACAGTTTTGTGAAAGTAAATAATTGTCAAAAAAAATCTGAGTTTATTATCGAGTACGTGACCGAATGAACTATCACAATGGCACTTTTTAGCGGCTAATTTCATTGGAGGACAGGATTTTGCCTGAGAGAAGATTACAGCAATGCTTTTGATTTCCCCTGTGAAAATTAGTGTTTTTATCAAGTGCAAAGCATTAGTCTACTTCCTCCCCAAGGGAAAGGCAATGTTGATTATGAGACATGAAATTTTCAAAAACAGAAAGGTTGAAACTGCGAGGTATCGACTGGCGGTCATTCTAGGGGGAATTTAGTTTTTGTACGACATCAAATTTATTGTCTAGCAGAGAAGGAAAATTAGAGGAAATGGCTTGAGATTCGGCTTCAAGGACTAGGAATTAAGGAAACTGGATGGGTTAGCAGAGCATTGAAAGAAGATCGACGACAATATCATGCTTGTCTTACATTATTTGGAAGCAAAGGGAGAAGTAATAAAGAAGAGTAACGTGCTGGACTGATCTTTAATGCTAAAGCACTAGTAGGTTTAAATCATAGCTAAAGTTTACATTAGTAATATTCAGTGTAAAAATAAACAGGCCTTCTTTATCCCAATAAAAAGTCCCAAGAGTCTTCTAACCGTGAAGGAGAGGTAATGAGTTCAGCAATAAGTTTATTGCTGTGGAATTTTAGTAAAAAAAGCAGCCAGAAATTTCCATACCGCAATGAACCTTCTAATGGATTCTGATTTTTCAACGCATTTTCTCACTCACCCCATTCTTCAACTCCGCTGAGCCATTACTACGGTGTAAGCAGCAAAGTAATGAACTACAATACCAGATTTCTCTCAAAAACTTGTTTTCCCATATCGCCTTCGCCCTCTTTGAAACAAAGTTGGTGCTCTCATCTTCGCTGGCGCCGTTCCGATATCTCAAGAAGAATCTAAACATAAATTGGGGCAGATCTCATTGTTTGATCCTCAGTTCAGCATGCGCTTCTTAGTGACACCGGCACTACGCAGGTACTCTTCAAGTTGAACTTTACACAGAATTTTTGAGTAATCTTATGCTCCTAGTGCTGCGCTCTATGTCGGCACAACGCTGTTTTGTTCCCTTGTTGGGAAGATCGTCGTTACACGATTCTTCTTCGACTATCCTGTCGTTATTCTTATGCTACAAATGGCTACGACCCTGTTTGTCGTGGAACTTTTGAGGTGAGCCGGTGATTGTTTTCTGTGATTAGCAGTTTACTTATGAGAGCACAAGAACTGTGCAGTGTGGAAGTTAATTGTTGATTAAGATCTTCCTACGTAAGACTTTTTGTCAAACTGAGGAGCACTTGGAAACTTATAAAACTGACTTTGTCAAATACTTTGGCTATTGTCGCATCTGCTAAAATAATTATACAAAAATTTTTATTTTGGAAAGTTGGAGCACCTTGAGTGGTCGGAAAAAAGTTGGAGAATAATTCTCAAATTGCGAGGTAGTTTCAATCGCAGTCATTTTGGCCGATTAGGGAAGGATTACTCTTTTTCCTTTGAGGAGGGCAACTGTAGAACGCTACCAAGATTTTGCTTCTGTAAATAAACCACACGTTGACGACAACGCACATTTTTACTTGTCTGCCTTTTAAGGCAATGCGTTTTACGAACAAGTCGAAATTTATTTGCTAAAATCACGCAGATCGGCATCTACAGTATACGTACCTATAGCAATTCTAAGAAACAGCCAAGAAACGCGAAAATACTCTAGGCTCAAGGTTAAGGAAGCTTGTGAAACGATGTACTCCAATGTTGTAGTCATTTTAACAAAATTCAAGCCATGACCCACTCGTGGGTCACAATGTTCCATGGGCAGCCACCATGTGGGTCACGCTGTCTCAATGCATTATTTCGCGTAGACCTCAATTCTTTCTTTACAGGGTGCTAGGTATTGTAAAGCTTTCACCATATAGCTTTGAAAAAGGACGTCATTGCTTCCTTCCTTCCATCCTCTACTGTATCGCACAATGGTTGACTGTAGTAGCTTTCGAAGGAATAGGCTTGCCTGCTTTTGAATCGGTGAAGAGGTAAGGCTAAACTATCCTCGAATCTTTCTCAATATGTGAGTCTGCACACTATATGCGGTAGCCAACGACACTCTCACTGTAACTTCTACCAAAACCTTTTGAAGCGGAATACGGTAGAGGGGGTTTTCTGCTAACAAGAGAAGCTTGTTTTTGAAGTGGCTTTTCTAAATGAGATGTACAACATGTTGAAGGGCATGAAATGCTGACTCCAAATCTGCCTTCCTTATCTGCAGAGCGTCCATGCACGAGAAGTTATGAGCGTTTTTAGAGCCAAAAATTGAAAGTGCATTTTGGATAAAATAATCTGCTAAAATACTAGCCCTCAAATAATGCAAGCATGTGTGATATATTTTTTATTTGATAATATTTTTTGAATAAAGTGCTCTGATGATTATCGCTGCTCCATTAAAGAGCTAGAAAAAGTATTCTGGCTGTTTTTGTCCTACTTGCACATTGAGTTTTTTGCCTCAATAAGCGCTTATGACTCCTCGTCCATCAACGCTCTGAGATAAGGAAGGTAAATTTGGAATCAGCAATTTATGCTCTTCAATATTTTATACGTACCATCTAGAAAGGCCACTTCGACTGAACATGCATTCCTTTTAGTACTTACCAAAGCAAACTAAAAGGGATAAGGAAACAAGAAGAAATCACTGGAGATAAACAAGTTCTAATATCACAAGTAGTCAAATAGCAAACATTGTGAGCAATGCGCATATTGAGATACAAATGATATAACAACAACTTTTTCATGCAACTTTTACGAAAATCGTTAAGGAGCCACAAAACGTCGCTTTTTGTCGACTACAAATTATCTTTAGATTTACTCCACTTGTAATTCTTCTTGGCACAAATGCTCTGACTCGCCAAGCTCGACTAGACCATACCCAGCTGATCGGTGTTGCCGCTATCTCGTTCACTTCTTTCTTGACAGGTAATGGGTAATCTTTCACATTTTAGACTTTTTGTTTTCCGCTTCCATATTATGCAAAATTTCAGTGAATTTTGAACTTTCTTTGGACCAATATTCCTTGTTCTATGGAGTATTAGCTGCTGTTCTACAGGCTGCTGCCTACATGCAGTTTGAGTCCCTCTCTCACACTTATCAGGTAGATTTGTATACATAACTTTTAAAGTCTTTTTGTAATATTTTGATATATTTAGGCAATGGAATTGCTTTACATGCATTCTTTCAACTCGTTAATAATCTTTCTTATTGCCGATATAGTGCAGGTGAGTCAAAAATCAGGACAAAGATTTCATAAAACAATATAATGATGTTTTTCTTCAATACATGAGATAGAGCTTCTTGTTTTTTCTCTTGTAGAGCGTATCGAACTAAAAAGAAAATAAAAAATCCAGGAAAGAGTACAGCACAAATGAGAATTTTTGCAAAACCATGTCGTGTGTCGTAGATTATTTGTGAATCTACGACCTTTACCATTGTAGAGTCATATTGTAAGCTATATTCCGTATCCACTAGCTTGTCGTTGACAGACATTACTGTTCACGGACCACTTAAGCCGCCAGGTCACCTCTCCACTGTGCTTGATAGTCTACTTGACGGCGCCTACTTTCATGTAGGCAATCCTTGATTCTATATGATACTGTTATTTGCCAGAAGTGAGCATTCAGGTTATCCACGCCCAAAATAACGGCATAAAAGGGCCTGAATACTCAGTTCTGATGTTGGTTCGATTACTACCACTATCGTCAGCGGCTGTTCCGCATATTCACTGTTAATAGTCAGCGGCTGCTCCGCTACTATCTAATAAACAGTTATACCCGTTGTGGTACCAGCTTGGTGTATACCAAATCGTGTTAGAAATTCACATAATGACTTCAGAGAAATAATTAGTGAAAATACCTGCGCTAAATGATTGCATAATTGCACGATCAAATCTTCGAAATATTCCATCGTAAATGCTTCAAACCACATTTTCAGGATGAGATCCGCGATGCTTTTATGTACATGATGACTTCGGCTCATCCGCTCTTTGGCGGAGCGTTTGCCATACTATTGATTTCGGGAATTTTCCTCCAGTATACAATGTTTTCTTGTATTGAGCAAAATGGAGCGCTAACTACACAAATCTTGTCGAACGTAAGGGCCGCATTCCAGGTAAGACAGTTTACAGCTATAAAATGGGGCGGCCCTTTTGCACCACCATTATGCTACCTTAACCTTGAGCAACTCGTGAAGTGTGTATAGAAGTGAAGATTTCTTCACTTTGTACAATAACAAAAGTTAGCAGAACTGATCAGCGTAGCGATTGCCTCTCAAGGCCGGTCAAGGTTACGGTAGCTTACACATGCGTGAAAGGGCCTAAAAATGAATAAAATGATACATAATAAATTTTCAAAGATATTCGTGGCTTACTTCCTCTCCCTCTATCTATTCTACGACGTTTCACCTGGATTCTTCAACTATGTGGGCCTCGTCTGCACTTTCGGCGCTGCCTACTATCTCTACAGTCAGAGAAATTCGGATTCGATGCCTCAGAAGAACGCCTGGGTCAACAAAGCATAATTTATTGGCCGGTAATTTAGAGTGCATGTCAATCACTCAGATATTTAAAATAAATTATTGTGGTAACGAAGTTCTTTGAAATTTAATATTTCATGATTCATTATAATGATCGATTCGCAAGTAACTAGCATGAAAATGTAACTCAGAAGGAAGGCAGCAGTGGACTGGAGTGTAATCTTCACTTGCAATCAGTGGAGAGAACCAGCCTATCAATCATAGTTACTTTGGCGCACCAAGGATTCGAACCATGGTCGCGTAAACGCGATAGCGCACATACGCACTGCGCCAACTTGTTAACAACCAGTTTTATCTTAACGGCGCTGGTCATGTAAAATTTTGAATTATTCAGTCCCACAAAAACAATGCTGGACATGTTTTATAGATCCGTTAATTCCATTTTTTTTATGTCTCAGACGTTTTCGAATTCTTTCTTATTCAAAAATCGCTATAATTCCAATTTTTTACCCTTTTTTTACTCAACAGCTGAGACAACTGTTCGAGTAGTACAAAATGCTCTGAACTCAAAAACTGCTATAATTATTTATCACATAATGCCATATTGCTTTTTACTGCCCCTCAAATGCTCATTAATTCAATCTGTAAAAAATACTAATTACAGTCACTGAGTAAGTAAAAATCTACCAAAAATAAATAATTAATCAATGCATGAAGAATGTACATCAAGTTACATTAAGTCACATAATGCGGAATGTGGAAGATTAAAGAAGTGATGCAAAGTAAACCCTGATAAAAGCATATAATCTATCTTAAAGCTATATCTGACTACAATTCAGCCATTATAGCCCTTAGGCCGAGGAGGAATTATAGGAATTTGTGGCCTGCTGGGTAATGTGGGAACAGGTGGGGCTTGCCTAATAGGAGTAGGACTAGTAGCTGCGTATGAAGATTGCACTGGTGCTGTTGTGTATCTAAACAAAGCCTGATTGGGAGGAAGATCACTTTAAAAATTAAAAAATTATTACTTTGTTGCAAATTCTTCAATCGGTGTGCTTCTTCCGGAACCGGAATTAGATCTGTCAGAGATGGGAGCGCCCAATGTAGACATTGCGTCCTCTTCATCTGAAAAATGGTCAGCAAGACCTTGTAAGCAAACTTCTGAGAAAAAATTATAATAAAAAAGAAATAAAAACAAAAACAAATGGAAAAAAATTTTAAAAAAGAAATAGAAAAAAGAAAACAGAAAATAGAAAAATGAGATAATAAGAAAAATAACAGTTTGAGATTTAGCATTCGGAAATTTTCAAAGGTCAGATAACTGTCTAATGGCCACTGTTTTCCGCAATAGATGCATTCGTTATATGATTCCAGAATTTGAAGAGTGCACCAAATTAAAAATACAAAACTGCTTTAACTGTACAGTCTGACTCCGAAAATGTTCAACCTAATTTCATGCAGGTACAAAAAAATACAAAGAATAAAATGGCCCCAAGGATGGACAGATATTATGGATTATTAACAAGCTAAACTCTTCGATTTTGCATATTTAATCTGAACACAAAGTATTGAAATGAGTGGAAAAAACAAAAACAAGGGACGCGATTCTTCAGACTGCTACTCCCATAGTTTGATGAAAGGATGCAAGCAAAGAAATAGGAAAGAAGTGAACTTACTACAAACACTAGCAAAAATCATATCCAAAATGAAGATTTTTAATATAAAATTAAATAAAAGATGGCTTTAACACTATGTATTGTGTAAATCCATACAGCGCTTATCAACTATTTTTGGAACAACAAGAAGTGATAACTTTTGAATTATAAGTCAAAAACTAACCGTCAATTTCAAACTCTTCTCCATTCGTCATGTTGAAATCGGACTCATGCAGTGATACTGCATCCTCTGAAGCAAGGCTGTTCGAGAATTTGGTCAGTTTGGGTTGAAGGGCTTCTGTCCATTCAGGAGATTTCAGTCTTACTGATAAAGTATGACCCTCTAAATGGAAAAGAAATAACCAATGAAAATGTAAAAGACCGTAACGAGGACAGAAGCTTACCGAGCTTTATACCATCCATACTCAAAGCTGCCAATGCAGCTTCGCCATTCTCTAAAACAATATGAAGCTCTCCGTCTTCGAACCTGAACTCAAGATTATTTCGACTTTTCTGGAAAAAAGCGCCACTTACTTGCTAAGTCGGATTTGCGCCGGAATTTCCTTAAGTTTCCCAGCAACTTGTGAGAACAGCTGGGCTGGAAATCGCTTCGTACCTTCCAGAGAGCATATTATCGTACTGTCTGGTGGTCCAAGACATCTGGGAAAATTTGTTTGGACATTTTAAAATATGAATTTTTGGACTATGTATTAGCTTACGCGACTATGTCCTCCACCAAATCCACACATTTGCTTTTATCCACACGATACACATTGACAGAAAAGAGCGCTCCAACTGGACGATGATCCGACGTTTTCAGCTCAGAACGGAAGTACCTAGATCATTCTGCATTTTGTATCTGTACAATTTTTTCTTTTTGTATGAAACCTTATCAATTTCACTTCAGCCGGGTTTCGATGTTCTTTCCACAATATTCTGTCCGTCCATGCAGGTGTACGACATTTTTCACTCGTGTCGTAGTCATCCGAAAAGGTATCGTATTTGTAAGTGGGCGGAAATGTAAGTGGACCTTCGCAGAATCCATCAAAAACCTCAAATACGATTATTTGCAGATCCAACATTGAGCACAGTAATGTTATGTATACCTACCATGCCTTGAGCTCTTTGTTGAGTTAGCTGATCAAATTGCCAAAGCGGTGTGAGATCTAGAGAATGTACAGCTTTCTTCACATCATCTCCGCTCAAGTTTATTCTGAAACACAAAGAGAATATGATTTTTATGTACCAAATGACGCTTTACGTAATCTCCATATCCTCTAGGCTCAAAATTTCCAAACCCCCATTTCAGAGTCTTTCTGGATGAGCAAATTCACCCATCCTCAAACCAAGGAACTACTTCAGGCAAATAGCTATCTAAAAAAAGGTTGGAAAAGCTCAAAAGCAGGCAGCGATGAGAGCTATCTGTCAGCTGTGCGAGAAAATTGGAAAATAGTCACAAAGCAGACTTTATGTGTAATTTACAGTATCCTGCGAGTACAGTCATTCTAAGAAAATATGGAAAAATACTAACATTCACGTTCAATATTTTTAAGCACAAGCTACGATTCGAGAGTGCAAAATAATAGCAAACATACGCATTAGGTTTGCACACCATTTATCTAGTGCTCTTACTTCGCATATTGTACGCTACCTAAGGTCACAGGGACCAGTCGCCCAGAACTCGCCCAAATTTCTCAAATATGCGTTCGTATCTAAAGCTTCAAGCTCTTCCTGACTCCAACTCTAGCCTTTTGATGTGCCAGCCATGGTGCTCAAGTTCGCGTAATCACATAAGATTTGAGAGAAAAAATATTTCAAAGAAACTTGATGACACCGATGACAACGATCCGATGACAACGAGATGTAAACACTTAGAAAAAAAATTATCTCCTACCTGTAATTGAAATCGCCAAACCAGAAAATTACATCGTGAGATTCTATGTCCTTCCCATGAGGGAATTTGATCCGTCTCAACGCAGAAGTGAAATCTTCATTACGATCTCGAACCTGCAATTCACAAATGTTTGGGTTTTCCAGGAACCAAAAAAGAACTTTCATCGTATCTCATTTATAGCACAACCTATTTTTTTCCTCGAACAAAAAAAAAGTAGCATGACCACCACTCACCTCATTTTGACCGGCAGCAAAATGAGAACACACAAAACACATACTCGTCGAATGTACAACCATTCGAAAAGCAACGGAACCCTGCAAACAAATTTCAATCTATTTCTCCACTAGCGAAAAGCTCAAGCGCACCTTATTGCCGGTTGTTCCTCCCATACCCGTTTTTATAGAAGTAACAGCAAAATCCTTTATAAAAGGAGCCAAATGTGATCGTGCAAAAATAAATAAGCATACGCCGACCTATAATGAGTGAAAATGGGCAAAAATGTGAATGTAAACTGAATACTCATACCAACTGTTCAACAACAAGAAGTACATAAGAGCCATGTTCGTGAAGTACCCGTCGGATTCCTTCCAGCCATAAGCGTTGATTTGTTGTGCTAAAAAATGGACTATACAAACAGGAAGTGACCGCGAGAAAGAATGTGAGGGACTTTTGCATTTTATACTGTATGCCACTTATAGCTGCTAGGTAATTCTAAGCCATTTCTGTGCAGGATATTACCAACGCGATTATACGTTTGGAAGAGAATTTCTTCGAACAAATTACGACGTGAAAAGTATCGATGGACGGTTTATGACGATTTCTTGTCACGTCCCGTTTTGCACATGGCATACGATAGCTTACTGTAGCGACGTAAAAGTGCCGCGCTCTTGTGGGAGGACTTTCAAATCAGTAATGCTCTATGAGCTTTATTTTTGATATCTGACAGTGTAAATTTGAAAAAAAAGGAAAAAATTCGTACCTAGCTTTCATGAGATTTGATGCATTGAGATCCACTAATTCTTCGACACCGATAGCTACAATTTCTGTAGAATCATCGATGTTATCCACAGAAACTGTAACATATGTATCTCCTTCGAGAATAGAACGCTCTAAATTACACACCTAAGGTCCCATTTGGGAAAATCCAGTCTGCCATATTAGACTGATTACGGAAGGCAATGTTATACATATTTTTGCCACCATTCACATTCCATGTGCCTGAATGATAATAAATGGAGATAATTCAAGGCGAAAGCAAGATTTTAGCTACCAATAAAAATTTTCATGGGATTCGCCGTAGTCACTTCACTCCTTCGGCTGAGCACATGTTCCACAGCATCTTCACATTCTGCAAATTATTTTCTCCATTTCTCTTCCAGCAATTCACATAAAAGCTTGATTCATGGCAGCCAGCTTTTCAACTTACCGAAAAAGTAGTAGTCATCTGGAAAAAATGGGTTTATTGGCGGAAATAAGGACAGAAGTGATCTCACCTCGTAGAATAGGAAGCGGTAACAAATTAGCAACTCTATCAAAACTTCGTTTATCGTACCAGGCTCCTCTGAGAAAGAGATCAAATGACTCCTGTTTTGAACTATCCATAAGGTTATTTTGTATAGTCCGAGCAATGGACCGTGATGCATCTTTGAACTGCAAACAAATGCTTCATAAAAGATCCTCGGAGCAATTGTAAAAACATTCACACCTTGCTCTTTCCTTCTAGTGCTCCAGTTCCAGCATAAATGTTACTACAAAGATCACCATTCTTCTGCCAGAGATCTCGTAGGATCTCCTCAATTCGCTGGGCAACATTCACTTTGCCAGATTCCAGGTTGAGCGAAGCAACTTGATCTCGCGCTATCTGCAAGCAGAACACTTTTAAAAAGAATTGCTCAAATCCTTGGTTATCCACGAAGCCAAAACAAGCACATCACATTGACGACAATATAATAAGCAGATTATTCTTCGAATTCTAACTTGACTCCACGAAAGATAGTATTGGTAGTGCACATTTTTTTGCTCTAGACGTTTATGAAAGAGAAAAGTGATTTTCAATGAATACTGAAGTGTTCACAATTATTCCACCTTTGCCCCCTTTTAAGCAGACTATCTCTCAATGCTTTCATCACCTTAGCGTATTCTGTGGACTGAACATTCACTCACCAATAAACCGACAGCTGTCTGTACCGAATTGGTTCGATCTAGGCAATCTAAGCAATTAACCCGTAAAACACCGCATTGTTCGCTGAAAGAAAAATATTTCCATCAACATCTAGAGGAAGAAGAACAGTTTTGGGACTTACCTTTTCACATTTCCATCCTTATACAAGTAAAACGATGATGTCTGGATGAAGGATGCAAGTCTCTTTATTAGTCTGACTAGCGATTCCTTAGAGATTTTCATTTGTGAGTGATAATCAAAATCAATAAATTCCACAGTATCGGCAAATTTGGAGCTCTTGTGTTGCGTCTGGAAAACTCCCATCGGTGGGGAAGTAAAAAAAGTCCAAGGAGGAAATATAAAACATACCCTAAATGCATCCGTCAAAGCCCGTTCACCCTCTTTACTCCCTAATAGATTCACAACAGTAGTTTTTCCATACATAGATGTTAGCCGCAAGAAGTGCCTACAGCAGTAAGAATGAAAAAAAAATCCAAACAAATTTTCCGTTAAATTTACCTGTGATAAGCTGAGGCGCTCGCTTCAAATGCTCTAACTTTCACTTTGTGAGAGCCAACTTGCACTCCAGGCTGCTCCCAGAACAGCGGCACGGACCCGCGCACTAGCACCACAGAGCATTCGCACTCGTCAAAAATTATTACCTATAGACTCAATTTTTGAATTTCCAGGAGAGAAACCTAACCCAGGGATCACCTGCTCAGTTTCGACAAAATTCGCAACACAACCCTGGGAGTTTGCTCCTCGAACGTTGAAGCGGGTGCCAACTCGCTCGCAACTAAGTCGCGACAATATGGCGACTTTACCCGTACGATGTCCAACATATACAGTTCTTACCAGCACGGAACTAAAGTGAACTCATATTCACTGGATATAAAAAAGAGCATCGAGCGAAGAAAGCTGCAGAGGAAAAAAATGCCAATTTCATTAGCAAACAATCAATAACATAAATCGATGAATATAGAAAAATAACATAGATATACCACTTACCCTGCCATGCATTTCAGTAACCATTGCGAGGTATCAATCCCGAACCGTTCGAAGGGAAAATGCAGACTTCGATTCCTAATATAATCATGAAGGATAGTTCACCTCAAAAATGTCGCAATTTTCTAACAAACCAGAAAAATCGTGGATCGCTTCCGGTATCAGCTGAACGTCGCTGAGCGCTCAATGTGATGTCAAATTTGGGGTTAGAAGAATAATAAAACATGCCCGAGGAAAGAAAGCGCACTAGCTGGAAATAGAAACTCAAATTATTTTTCAATTTTGCAAATCATTAAAAAAAATAAAAGAAGATACTCAGATGAAGATGCAAAAAAAAGGCAACGATTTTTCTCAGAGGCTCTTATCCTCATGTCATTCAATATTAAAGCTAAAAATTGTAGAAGAAAAAGAGCAAAAATAGCTTCAAAAACCTTGAAAATTGAGAAAAAAGAGCTACAAAGGGTGAAAATAATTTCCTCATCCTATCCTGTTTCACTCAAAGCAAATAGAACAGAAAAACCCAAAAAACTTGCTTCCAAGAAAAATCATTGAATTTATGAAACTTACTTCAAGAATGCGAAGATCAGTACTTTCGACAGGCCCCACTGTTCGAAGTGAAATAAATGTACATGAGATTATTTTGACAATATCAGCTCCATGTAACTGGCCAACAGACATCACTCCCGTCACAGCGACTAGGACTTGTTCATCTGTAAATTACAAATAAAAACCCATAAAAGTAAAATCATACAAAAATAATCAACCTTGGCCTATTCGCAAGATACCCACTAGGCCATAGGAATCCAAAATTTTGGTGTATCCCCTCCTCTCCACTTCTGCTGAATCGGAATCTGGAAAAATGGATTTTTCTTTGAATGGCCAAAACTGTCATTCAGTTTATTCTCACCCAGTGTAGCAATACCGCCATTTTGAAGCAAAAGAGAGCAATCGACTGAATTTTTATCAATCAAGATGGCTGGTGTCTGTCTGCCATCCGTCCGTTTCCAGATCCGTATCTCACGGACTGACATATATTCTGCACCCTATAGCGATGGATAAGGGGTAGCCCACAGAGGAAAATTACTTGTTTCATGGCATAGAAATTCTTATAGAGAAAATGAACATTGGCTGCCTTGATTTAGAGACAAGTGCGGAAAGAAAACACAAATAAGCATGAAGCTTGCAATATTTCTTCCGGAATAGCCTAATTTCCCCTTATTACTCACCCAGTAGAGGCGAAGGCATTCGAGAATAGAACGATGGGTCGTTTTTCTTTTATATTTCCCTCATAAATCTTCCTCGGTAACAATGACTCCCATTCAGCTTCCCTTTCTTTCTCACAATATTACCATAAATAAACATAAGAGCAAGCGAGTAGCTTTCCCAAGATAATGGAGAGTTATTATATATGGCAAGGGATTACTTGGCTGAAGGATACACTAGCTTTGAAAAGTCCAAAAACTCGCAACTCTAAGTGTCTTTTTCTTGAGAAGAGAAATTTATTTTGGAGGAGTATAATTTCAAATTTCTCTTATTACAGCGACCCTATGGCTTTGGTACGTAGCCACTTCATATCAAAACCAAACTTCCGAACATTAAACAGCTTCAAAAAACTGGAAATGTACAAAAACAGTTTTTGAAGAAATGAAAATATGTCTGAACAACATGGTCCCGAAAAAATCATTGAAAAACAAATTCTCTGCTCATTTCTGTAAAAGGTCAAGCCTATAGTGACTAATACATTTCGGATGCTATACCGGATGCGCTGTCAAATCTGAATCCAGGATGATAAATATACGGCATTCAAAAATGTGAATCGAAGAACGCTGTGATGACTTTTCTCAGTCGAAGAGAGGTATAGAGTCTAGAGTCAAATTTGAGAATTCAGTGCTCCAAAACCAGTTACTCCCCCGAATCATTGCTGAATATAAGTGCTTCCAGAGTGAAGAAAGAAGACTGAGTGAGGAAAAACGCAAATCAGGCATTTTAAGATGTTCATGATTGGATCAACATTTAAATGGAGTCCCATGGTTCACTCAGTGGCGAAATGGTGGCTGCACCATGTACATGATAGAAACTAGTATTCAACAATGCAACTTCTTTTTACAAAAAGAAATGAGTAAACAAATGAGAAGCGAGCGACTGAAAGAAAGGCTCGGTATGATGCTGCAGAAAAGGTAAGAGAACTGAGATGTTTTGATACGAGAAAAAAAAAGAAACAAAACGATAGTTTGTCATATACAAGAAGTTGAGCAAGGTGTCCTAAAAAATGAAGGGAATGCAGTGGAAATGAATATGAGATTTGACTCCACCTCAAACACCTCTTCAGACGGCATGAGAAAATTGCGTGACAAGCAATCTAATCGAGGAATTTATGATTCTCTAACCCTAAAAAACTATAAGCCAAACTCGTTTCTACCTACAACTGTAGCTGGTTTCGCACGCCACTTTAGCTAATTGGGTAGGTTCCAGTCTTTTGCGAAATATATGAAAGCAGCTGTCGTCTTCAAATTTTTTCACTCTTGAACCCCAGTTATTCGAAAATTTACCTCAAAAACTATCCCAATTCAAGAAAGCCTGCTGATTCGATTCTATTATATTCAGTTTAATGCATAAAACTCAATTATTCTCCTACCTAACTTTTAAATTTCCGCAAGTTCAAAAAAGACCCATCAAGAAGCAAGCTTTCCAAAGCATGATTTACGTATCAAATCGGAGGGAAATAGATCTCTCTTGGACCAGATGCGACCACTCGAATTATATCTTTTCCAAGAAATTCAAGTTCAAAATTCAAAACACTCTAAAAATGATTACGGCAGCTGCTCATGACTCATTAAAATGGCTTTGCACCTGGACTGTTTACGATTTGATATGTGCAGCACTTTCGTTAGCTAAACGACGATAACAATTTGCTCAAACTTTTCTGCAAACACCAAGCTGGCAACCAATGACTCAGTTTTGCAGTGAAGCGAGTCGCAGATGGTTGCACTTTCGAGCAGCTTTCTCACGACCAGTAAATTTGTGAACAAATTTGAAGTCTTGGATAATCCTGACGCTAAAAAGGGGACATTGCTGTCTACCTTTGCCAACATCATATTACATACTGCACATGAAATTGAGTTCAAAAATCTTCTACAGCGTCAGAGCATTGTGAAATGCTCCAATGCTGTACAATTTCTCCAAGTGTGGAGCCTTTCATTAGCATCCCACTACAGCTACCATTTTTTATTGGTATCGTTTTTGCGTTTTAGTCTAATACATGAAGAATCGTTAACTCAAAATCTGCAAATAGCGGGAAACCGCGCCTCGGTCCCGAAGCGAACGCTCTTTCAAGTAGCACCTTTAGATTACTGGTTAACTAGTGTATATAGAAAAAACGCAAAAAATGTGTAATTGCTCGTTAGTTTTATCCAGTTTTTTATTAGAAAAGCTATTTTACAAGGTTATCTTATTTCTAAAGTGATAGTATTATACATGGGCAATATGACTTAAATGGTTGTAAAGTGAGAAAAACTGAAAGGATGAGAGGTAAAGAGTTTACATCTAATCAGAGAGACGTCACCGTGCTTTCCTGTTTTTGCACTGTTTGAATAACAAAGTCTACAACCTTAAAGCTCGCTTCCAACGAGAGATGCAAGCTCAGGAAAATTTTTAACATAAAAGACAGACAAAATTCATGGGAATATTTCAAAAGAAAACAAAGTATGGCTTTGTGTAAAATTGAGGGAGAGCGAGATTATGCGCGAACAACAGCTAATGTTACGGATATTCAAGCAGCTCACATTACTCCGACAATTGCTTCAAGAACGAAATAACATGAAACACGAAAACATTGGCCATTATATGGATTAGGCGGCGAGGAATAGCGATTATTTAGGGCATGCGGGCAGACGAGTGGCAAAAATTCTCATTGTATGCCGAACACATTTAAGTGGCCATAAATTATGCGTATTGATCGTAAAAAGAACTTCACATGGTATATATATATATGCAATTTACTTCAGTTCTTAGAAACAAAGGTATAAGAATGAATGTAATAGAGTAAGCGAACCATAAAATATGGAAACTGAAAGAGGGAACCTGCTCAGACTTTTGCTATTGCATGAAAATTGGAGATAAAAACCAACAGCAGTATGCAAATGACAGGGAGGGGAAATTGGGGCCACCTTAATACCCATCAAAATTCAAAAACAGGAATATGCAAACGCCGGAATGATGAGACTGCCAAAAAAAAAATAAGGCGAACATGTTTTTGATAGCAGGATAATGTGACAAATGAAGAATCAAAATACAAAATTTGATATATAAATGTCAAAGATAATGCAATCAAGTCAGAATATGTAGAATGGAACGAAATTCACGAACGATTTTCCAAATGAGCTGGAAGTGCTACGAATATTCGGTGAAATACGTCATCACAACATAAACATTGATTGATTGTTTCGCGCAAAATGCGATAAACATTGCGACCGCAAAACGAGCGCGGGGGTGTAAAAATCTTTTGGACTACGTAAAAGCTGAACGAAAGCCCAACGATGAAGAATTCAGCGCATGCTAGCATTGGCTACGGCAGTGCAAATCGATTCCTCCGAGAAGCTGATAGCTTTCGAGGCTTAGGAAGTGAAAGACGGGCTAGTTAATCCCATGTTTGGCACACTGCACTTTTAGACAAAGAAAATGAGGATCTTCATTAACCGCATAATTTTTACGGTATTCATTGACAACAATTAACGGACAACAATGGACATCAATGACAAAACTGTACAAACGAATAATACGACATGTAAGAGCCTCAAGATGAAATAGATCCCCTACAAATGAGAATCTTATGCCAGATACTAGCACTACAGAAACAAAAAAGGAGATGACTGATCTAAAAAAACGAGCATGAATAAAACTCATGCTAGGTGCTATAGCCTCATCAAATTACTCGAACGATCAGTGACTCGAAATAGAAAACACGGGTAAATAAAATCTGCATAGTTACCCTTACCAGATTTCCAGATGCTGGAGAGCCAGCAAATTCAGCAACAACGCTTCCACAACAAATAATATTTTTCCGTAAAATGACGTCATCGGTAACGAAAAAAAAATCTATACACAGATTCGATGCAACTACTAGTGAAAAGCTTAACAATCCAGGTTAAAGCAAATTTGTATCGAAAAGACCACTCGTGACAAAAAGTCAGCATATGATTTACCAACAAAAAATACTATTGTTCCATAGTTTCTTCAGTGGCAGGTCTCTCAGGAGCAATGCATCGTCCCAATTTCCCACTTATAGTCGTGAGAAGATGACGTAACAGCGGGTCTTCACAATCCACCTTCGCTCCTCCACCAGAAATTTTTGCAACTTTGTCATCCACCTCCACCTTTATCGTGGTTTCATCTTCTGGATCCAAAGCTACGGCTTCTTCACCACAAACCTTAACAAAGTCGTTAAATTCCAGAATTTACACCAGAAAGTTGATCCAATTTATTCGAACCTCTTTGACAGCAGTCAGGAGCGCCTGTTCGATTTTCGGATAAGTTTCAGGTTTCGGCAGGTCTGAAATGCATGACCGAAGTAAACAAATTCTTAATGTGAGTTGCGGGAAAAGCAATGATACAGGCCTCGAAAGAACTGAATGGACATGGAAAATTTTTTTTTACCAAGAAACAATTTTTTACCAAATTCTCAAGCCATTTTCGCTATAATATCGCAGGAAGATAAGAAGGTCTTATCGAATTTTTTTTGTACTTACACTTTTCTGGAATGGGGTTCGCTTGAGCATGCAAAATTGCAGCCAGTACTGCGTCGGCATACATGTCGTTCACAGGGTTTGATTCCCAGTCGAGGACACATATTGACGCCAAAGAGCACCATTGCAATTGTATGGCTCGCTAAAAACAAAAAGAAAAGTCAACATAAAGGAGTCTTAAAAACATCAAATGACTCACTCCGAAAACAGAAAAGACATGAGTAGCTGTGGTAGTATCCGTGGGTTTCATTTCTGCTGTCAACATAGCGTCATCATTTAGTTGATTCAAGCTGTACAAAAGCAGCGGCAAGCTTCCAGAATAGTAAACGGACTGCCGTTGAGAAAGACGAGACGATGATAGATCCGTAAACACTAAACAAAAATTGGGGTCTATAGTCTGGAGATCCGTAGTAGTATATATGCAAACCTGTGAGATCTTTAGGATCAACAATTTGATAATTGAAATTCCGCTTGATCAAAATTCCACTGACCACGTCGCCAACCTAAAAAAAAATTTTCCTTGCAGAATCCCATGTATAGATTCCAAGTCAAGTCATAACACACCTTGTTGGATTTTATTGCTAATGAACCGACCACCTTGGCCTTTCTTACACCCTGGAACTGCAACCGAACTGTGTCTGTGTTGCGAGGATTGTGAATCTGTAAACGCAAAATAATCCATGGAACTTAAGGTCATGAATCTTATACTAACCATAAGAGGTATGCGAAACTGAGGAAAACTGAGATTCTACACCCTTTCTTTTGCTAACGTACCTCTATCGACATGTTCTCCTCTTCAAAACTTCTGAGGATTCCTGCTTTTAGCCTACTCATTTCGTGCATTTCACCATGAACGAGAATCTAAATACATTTCTTTCCGTTTCACCGACATAAGAGAGTGCTAGGAACACTTGCCATGTGTGGAGGTTTGAGCTGCTTGACAAATGCAAGTGTTTGTTGAAAATCTGTGTGAGCAGAAAATGAGATGTAGCCAACCTAGAACAGCGAAAACAACTAGCACACACGCTCAAATAAAACTATTTACCTGTAATCTCATAGGTAGACGGTCGCCATTCATCGCTACAAATTCTTCAGGTTCGGAGAGGATATGCTGAGATTTGAGCTTGCTTTCTTTACAGCAAATCTATGAGATTCTCACCTTGGCAGGGGTCCCCTCAACACAGTAGCCAGCCACAATGCAAGCATTTTTTGCATCTGTGCACCATTTCTCGAAAAGTTCGCGACTGAGACCATTTTGAAGCATACCAGGACTAGCTAGAACTACGCAAGGGCCCGAATCTTCAAAATGCTCCATCCCCTAAATTTCCCTTGAATCTCGTGACACTCGAGGAATCAGAAAAAATTTACCTTCAAGTTGCTAACATGCTTGAAAACAAAAGGATTGCTAACTGCTATTTGCTTCTGTATGCGTTGATTCATACCACTGACAAAGGTTTGATACACAGCCATACATTTCTTTGCAAGGGAGGATGCATCTGGAAGCATTTGCCTCTTGATAACAGACCCTACAAAACTTGAAAAATGACTACTTACAGTATACCGGAATATCGTATAGCTCCGGATGTGCGTCCCAATATTCATCAAGGATGAGAAGCAGTTCTTGAGCTCTTCCCAAAGCGAAAGCAGGAATCAAACAACGCCCTCCTCTACCGACTATATCGTGGACCATTTGGGTGAATCGCTTCTCACGTTCTTCGCGTTCCTCGTGAATCTGGGTCCCGTAAGTGGATTCCTAAAGTTGCCGATCACAACGCACAATCAAACCATGTTAGTATGCCGATCACAACGCACAATCAAACCATGTTAGTAAAGTAGAAGAAGAGAATAGTAGAAAAGCATGAAATGAAGTTCCAACCCAACTAACACAGAAACGTACCGATATGAGGACGTCAGGTGTGATGGTTGGCATCTCAGCCGCACAAAGATGTCGATCTTCTAATCTTGAGAAATCTCCAGTGTAGAGAGCTCTAACTCCTAGAAAAAGTATATTATATTAAACGCAACACCGAGATCACCAACTTCAGGTTCATATGGAAATACCTGCTATTTCGATCATAAACATGCATGCACCGAGGACATGCCCAGCAACATATGGCCAGAACCTAATACCGTTAACCTCTTTCTGCTCGTGAAAGTCGATTACCTGGAAAAGGAAAACAGCTCATACGATACAAAAAACAGAAAGCAAAGGATGAGCCAAGGAGCGATTCCACGAATTGCTGTAAAATCATTTAATTCTATCTTACCTCAATTTTCTCCATACTTCTCTCTAGATCTTCTTCTGTGTATAGCATACTACGGTCACTTCCACCTCCATATTTTGCCACCTATAGCATTACCGTATATCGTACATGGATGATATGAATAAAACAAGAAGAAGCACCTTTATATAGTCTCCAAGGAGCATTCTGTAGATGGCTTTGGTTGCATGCGTCATGAAGCATTTCCCCTGAAAGCCAGTTTTCTCCAAAAGCCAGGGCAAGGCGCCGCAGTGGTCGAGGTGGAAATGGGTGATCTAAAATCGAGAAGTGCTGGTAACGAAAAATCATGACTGCGGAAGGACAAATGAATTCCATACTAATTGGCAAATTCATCGCGGAGCTACTCGAAAAGGACCTGACCGTAAGAGAAATTAACAGTCAAAACAGAAAAAACCTTGATAACAAAAAGAAGATGAGGGATGTGAAGCTCACCAACAGCAAGTCAATCTCCTCGATATCTATGAAGTCCACAAATGGAAGGGCATCTACACCATGCATACCAGGATGAACGCCGCAGTCTAGCTAAATTGATTTCTCATCAAGTGAAAGAGGGTCATGACGTCCAACTCACCAAAATCTTCTTTCCCTTGAAGTGAAGCAGGTGACAAGATCTGCCAACTTCCTGGCCGGATCCGCTGAAAATATTTTCGATAGTAAGAAGAACTATCACGATACATCAATTGAAATCGAACTTACAGCGGCGTGAAACACATGATATCCGAGCTTGCACCTCCATCCTCATCCATTGTATAAACCCTAACAAAAAAAATTCAATGAAAATTGAAACACTGCAGTTCACAATAACGGTACGGTATGTTGAGATTCAAACCAAACATTTAATGGAACTCCCGGAGTAAACATATTTATTGGCATAAAACAGAGCGTCAAAAGCAAAGGATCTGTATTAGTGAAAGTGTACCAGCAAAGTTTGTAAGGATAAATAGACAAAGCTCATTTTGGACTTTGGTATCTGCTGTATAGCAACAACTCATAGTACAAAATGCAAAACGACTAGAAAATGTATATATAATGCAAATCAAACGACGCTGATAACGGTTATGTTACGAAATGTAGCAAAAGACCCCGCACTTAACCCACAATTTTCGCCATCTCTCACTCAGAAGGGGAAGCTGCCTATCTTCCCAATGTGAACTAGTCCTGCTTTGGATTGAGCAAGATGGGACCACTTTCCGCTACGTTAGGAGTGTATCGACGGGAACCGTCATCGCTGCTCTCATTTCCAACAGTACGATTTCCTTCGGTCCCTACAACACAAACTCTAATTAACAAAGAAAAAGGCAGTCTGAAATACCAAAACAACAACAGATTTATGTTGGGATACTGTTTTAGAGTAAGAAGAAAACATTACTGAAGGCCTCGTGCCACCCCTACAAAGCTTTTTCTTGAGTAGTCAAGGGATGAATAGTTTGTAAGCAGCACTCATCCCCTTCTCATCTTATATATAAAGCTGAATGTCTGTCTGTCTGTCTGTCTGTACGTATGTTCCGAATAGAAAATTCCATTTCTGAACCGATCCGGACCAAACTTGGCACACATGCACTTCGGGCCCCGGCGGGTGTCATAGGCTACTTTTCGTCATCGATCGATATCGATTTTATCGATTTTTTTTGCAAATTTTGAGCTACGGGGCTGGGAGTTGGCACAGGGGGTAATCGAGCATGCTGATTACGAATGTAATAATGACAGAGCCGGGCGGAGCCGGGTCAGTCAACTAGTTCCTTACTAAAGCTGAGTGAATATTTTTTTCCTAAATATCTGACATGCAAAAATCACAAAGCTTATGACATACCTGTCTGCACTGCATTATGTGGACTATTAGAAGACACCAGATGCGCCTGAAAACTCTGATTTTCGCGTGCAACAGGATTCTCACCAATAACGAAAGCAAGAGATTTGAAATGAACAAAAACCATACCTGCACCGCCCCATATTGAGGCCTCCGCTGTTGTAGGTGAGGCTGATGTAAGATATGAGCTTGCCCTTGCTGCACAACCTGCTAACAATAAGAAATCACACTTGAAAGCCTTTCACAGAATTACGTGAAATCGTGCGCCTTGCAGAATGTATTTATAACGATTATGCAAATTTACCTGGTTCTGCGGATATCTCTGATGAGTGTTGGGAAGAGACCTTACAGGTAAAGGAGCTTGTGAAGGCATCTATAACTTGCTCGATAAAAATTTTGAAAATGCTAAGAAGTGATGAGTAAAAGCCGAAAATTTTGTGTAATTACGTGGAATATATGAATAGGGTCCTTAAGATGCTGTGATGGCTGCGAGAGGCCAGAATCAACGCTAACTAGTCAAAAGGTACCAAATGCAAAACATCATCTTAAAGGCACCGTCCACCCAGATTTTCGACTTCCACGTTTTTGTCGTTACAGGGCCTTCTCATGTCCCTGATTCCGAATATGAAGTCGAGGATGCGCGAAAACCGCGACAATCTCCGTTCCGGAGAACCCACAGGCCTGCTTTCCGGAACGGTGATTGGATGGGCGCGCACAAGTGGGCGGGCATGGATGGGGGAGGGCGGGCATGGATGGGGGTCCTCGTGCATCTTCGCTATTCCGAAGCGATTTTCTCGCTTCCGAAGCGGCATTTTGCGCCGCGACTTGGGCGTTGGACTGATAGGGGGCCCTACTGTTATATGCTGCCAAAACCTGAACACCCTCAAGTTAGGGTGGACGGTGCCTTTAAACATTTAAGATTACCTGACTGTACTGATGGTTCGTAGCACTTGCGACCTGTACCGGCAGAGGACGCTGCATAGCTCGCTGTTGCTCCTGTGCAGCTTGCCCATGTGCCCTTGCTTGGGAGATTAGTTGGTCCAGCACGGCTGGTGATGGAGATGCGGGAGCGGAATCAGTAGATGAAGGCGTGCGACATCCTGTCATTCATTAAAATTACACACCTATGTCACAATCAACACGGCATTGCTATGTATATTCTATGAAAGTTAACAATTCTGTGGAGGTGAAAGATCTTTAAACATCTAATCAAAGTCAAAGAATCTATTCTTTATGCTCATGCAAAAATATTTTCGAGCTAGTTTATTGCAGCAATAAGGCAAGAAAATATTAGAAAGCGACCACTCGATACAAAAAAAAACATACCTGATTGCTTCTTATGGGACTGCTCGATATGATTAGACAACCCAGCTGTAGTTTTGTAACGTTTAGAGCACTGATGACATTTGTACGGCCTCGATCTGAATCGGACTTCTTTAAGAGACTGACAAAACACTGGAAGACACTGCATACAATGCTGACTGTACAACTACAACTAATCTATGAGTAGCGGAAGACAAACGCTGCATATTTGGTAGGGCTGACTGTTGGCGGTGGGTGATTCTGAGAAGATGAAAGAGTTCCTGATCCATTCGAGCCACCGTGCGTAGCGGAGGTGTTTTCTTGTAGTACGACGCCATGAACAGTCCGTGAATGCAACCTAAGATAAATGGGGATCATCGCAAAATAAGATGAACAAAGCACCTCGTATGTAAAAAAAAGATGTAGATAATTTAAAAACATGATCTTGAACATACCTCAATCCAGCACTGCACTTGAAGCGCTTTCCACACTCGCCAACAAGACAGCGGAAACGATCTTCCAATTCACTAGAATGATAACCAACTAGACATTTCTAACAGATTCTGAAACGTTATATCAGCTCACTTGGGCCCACATTCACTCAGATCTTCATTGTAGTCTCCAGACGAATCCTCTGAAAACAAGAATGCATGCGTGAACACATCGACATACAGGATGACGGCGAAAGCACATTCAATTCGAATGAAAGTTTTCGTTGAAGAAAATAAAATCCAAATTTTGTTCAATGATACAACTAAATGTCACAAAACAGCAAGATAGTATCCATGAAACTGCGAGGGTTTACACCTTCTGGGTTAAAGGCGGTCAAGTAGCCCTAAAAACCTTTTAACGAACCTTTCTTTATCGAAGAAGAGGATGAAACATTAGATAATGTAGGCGCAGCTGCAATGCGGGGAGTAAACATAAGATAATTAAGTTATTCAGATCCGATACCTTCGTGCTGTCGTTTACGGTAGTGATTGAAATTCAAACGAACAACATCGGGAGCACACGGCTGAGGATTGTATGGCAACCGATATAGTCTAGAATATCCTATTAGAAACGACAAAATGGTTTTCGATAATGATTTTACACTCCATCTCCCCTCATTCAAAAGTGCAAAAATCACTAAGCTCTACTTTATGCACACATGATTTTTAATTTACTTATGCAGAAAGATAAACATAATCTCATAAATGCCGCACCTGTACACACAACCGAGTGGCATGTTTGGTGTGGCTGAGGCACGGTTCTCCTCAGAGCCATACTGCCCTTGGCTCACTTTTTGTCGATACTCTTCCTCTAGTGGTGCTAGAATCCAACTAATTTCTTGCAGTAAACTTGAAATTTCCTTGCAGAGCTTACTGATGTGCACAAATTCGATATGGGCGATTAGGTCTTCCGAACTGGCAAAACAAAGCTGACAACCTCCAAAGCTGCATCTATTTTGGGAAAGCAAAGATAGCGCCATTTCCTATAATCGTCCCTATAGAAAGCGTATGCTAATTGTACTCTTTCTCAATAGTAAAATGTACGAAACATAACTTATTCATTGGACATCTGCTTGCAATATTTATTATCACCGTCTAAGCACATACCCGAGTTGAAAACTATGTAGGAAAGAAAAGTGCTAGGTAGTTTAAGAAAACGCAAGAATAGTATCTTGCTTGTACATAATATGCTCATACGAGAGAGGATTTTTGATACAAGAAAATCACATCTATTAGGCCTGATGAAATTTTGGTAAACCTGTTGTTTGTTAAGTACCAGCTCTATGGAGTAATTAAAATATACCCTGCACAGACATAAACATGATTAACACAACATTAGTAAGCTATTGAATAATGATAGAAAGATTTCTAAGGCAGTGTACAGGGAGATTCGCCGCATCCAGCAGACGTGTTCGTGCATATCCCACGTACTATATCCATGACACGGGAACAGCGTAGCCCATCAGATTCTTCAATCCTCTGAAAGCAGAAAAGATGATATTTTCACACAAATACTGCTTCAATTTGAAATCGTACCGTATATTTCAAAAATGGTCGCAATGCCAAAGCAGCTAAGGTCTTCAATGATGGTGGTTCGAGATAGCAACACTGTCCTGTATTAGTACGTACTGTGCTGTAGATATCAAGCACTCCACCCCACACAATCAAGCATCCTTCCTGAAAAAAAAAAGATTACAGACTGAATAATGAGCGTGTAGTTATTGGCATACCTTGGTGATGGCAGCATCATGAAAGAAAACTGGTACAGCAAGGTCAAAAGGCATTTTCTTCCAATGATGAGTGTCCAAGTCAAATGACCAGACGTCATCGAACATATCAACCTGCAATGGAAAAGGTATACGCGAGATTGTTTGTGAAAGAATTGCAGCGGAACCGAAGAGACAGAAAAAGGAGTACTAAAAAGGCCTTGCCCTAAGGTAGGTGCTAAATTCAATCGCTTCGTCCGCTTTATTCCATTCACTATTGGTCAATTCAGTGATATGACCAATGGCGAATGGATACACGGGTGAACTGAATGAACCGAACAATTTAGCATCTGCCTAGGGGTAGCATTTGTTTTAGCGTTGCTCTAAAGGAATTATGATTTTCTACTCGATCCCTAGTTAAACGACGAGAGTTACAAGAGGGAAAGAGTGTCCTTGATCTGTATGTTTACATCTACTATGTAAACTAGCCCAGAATCTAACAGCCCTCATTACAACCGATTCGTTCACAATGAGAAAAAAAATGACCCACATGTCTAACATCGTCATCATCCTTGTCCGCGCTGCATCCACCCACAACAATGGCTTTGTTCTTCCATTTCGTAACAGAATGACATCTCAAACATTATACTTTCTCTCTATAGGTAATCAGAATATAGAAGTCGATCTTAATCTACTGACCTTCTTCCTTGTGGAAATCCATCCTGATCCGGGTTCGCAATGATCCAGTCTTCATCGGGGTAAGTGGGAATTTCCACAAACTTCTTGTTTTTGGTATCAAAGACAGTCAACTACAAACATGTCAGCATTACCTTAGGCATAAACTTAATCATCACAAACTTACGTTTTGCAGCTCAGTGACGAAATCCGGACGGCCACCGCCAAAAATGTAGATCAAATCTTTATGGAGAACAGCTTCCAAACGATACCGTCCATCTTCGTTCGGCGTCTGCCAATATTTATCGATCAAAAAATGAAAGAACAGCAACAGATCAGTACCGTCACGGCTTGATTCGACCATATCCACTCCCCATTGACGAAAGTAAGCTCATCCACATCCAAGAAAAAAATATGACCAGTTGTTCCACCGATAACATAGAAGGAATTTGAGTCGTGACCTCGAATCATAGCCTATAATGCGTTGAAGTTCTCCGAGTTGCAAACATACTTGAACTTTTTTCTTCTGGTACGAAAACAGAACAAAAAAAACATAGAAACAAAAGCAAGGGCCCACTAAAAAGCTGTGAACACTCTCTTTCAATGATGAACTATCATTTCTATTTCGGATATAATAACGGCCTCCAACGGCTCATAACTTCGCTTACACAGGCGCTGAGTAGATAAGAACGTTGCTTCGGAATAAGATCCGAAGCGCGTTTTAAGCTGAATCTAATGGTATGCAGCATGCTCAGATTGGCCACCTCGATTTCTGACCACTCCCTTGTGAGCTCAAATAGGCAGGGACAACTGCGTCAAGTTTGCTTTCGCTGTGGAAATCCAAGAAAAATATACATTAGGCTCAAAAAACCAACGCTGATTGAAATCGGACGCAACGCGCAACTAAAGATGTATGCAAAACTCACATGGCCATAGGTGCCGAGTTTCTCTCCCCCAACTGGAAGAAGAGTAGAGACAAGCGCATTCGAATCACTGTCGACGGAAAGCAGATAAACGCTGGCCGAAGTTGTTGCACCGAAGGGAACAGCTGTTCCGCCAAACAAAAGCACTTGATTGGAGTAAGGAGCACTTTGTGCTACTAAAGAAGACAGCAGTAAGTAAGGTAATTCAAAAGTGGCAAAACTCACAGGCAAAAGATGCTAGCGAAGAGGGAAAAGTTCCATGTAAATCCATACGAGACCATTCTTGGGTGTATAAATTGTAACGCCATACCTGAAAAATTCATCTTCGATAAATCAGGCATTTTAATGAGTAAACCGATTGGATCAATGACTTACTTCTCTGTATATTTTGCCTTCACGTTCTTCAGAGGTGCGATCAAAACCGCCAATCACATACAGAAACTCATCATCAGTAAATATTCGGTGACCGCTACGGGGAGCAGGTATATTATTTGGTGAGTCTTAAAACGCTTTTACTTGAGAAATACTAAAAAAAGGCAATAAATAAATGAGCATTGACGTCTTGAAAGAGGTCCGGACTTCAATTCTCTGAACGATAGAAGATTGCCGTCATTCGCTGGATCACATTCCTATAATTAAGTGAGAATATGAAAAATGAGTAATCAATATTACAATAAATCGGAATGGACATGCAAGGAAGAAAATCGTGCCAGATCACACACCTATGCCTATCTATGATCAGAAGGTGCAACTCTGTTGGAAAATGATTAAAAAAAACCATACCTTGTCGCTGTCCCAACTCGCCCCGAAAAATTCTTGCATTCCAGGAAGGTAACGCAGGATGTTCATTGTGATAAATCACCATATATACCCGATATAGGAGTTACTTGGAGTAAAAGGTCAAAACCTAAATTGAATAAATCAAACCTTCAATTTATTGATCTGCAAATAGGTCAGGACGATTGTTTATGAAATGAGACAGGAGGAAAATGAGTGACCAGCGGTAACAGGAGACCACCTTCAGCAAGCGTAAACAACCTCGGCACAGACTTTTGAACTTCGGTCTAACAACGGAAGCTGCAAAACTTTACATGCGCATTACAAATTCAGTGGAAATGCTTATAAGATTTTAGAGCCTTCTATCATACCATTCACACAGTGCAGGATATTTAAACTGCAGCATTCATGCAATAAAAGGAAAATGTGTTATAATGAGAGAGCCATAAGCAACGAAACCATTTGAAAATGTACATAAAAGCAGTGCGAACGCTCGATGATAGAATAACATGATAATATGAGATAAGATAACAGAATAAATAATAATGGAAAAATTATCTCACTTGAGTCGATTCGAATTCTCTACCTTGCTTTCTGTTTGTCCCCAGTTTTATTCGTTCTTTTATAACTCCTGAGTGCAGTGTCCTCGACAGACGTTGAGTGCTTCCTAATCGTATACCATGATCTTGAGTACCACCTTCTACTATGTAGTATTGTGTAGTAGAAGATGGTACTCAAGATCATAGTATACGATTAGGGAGAACTCAACGTCTGTTGAGGACACTGCACTCTGGATTTATGAAAGGACGATTGACTAGGGGCAAATAGAAAGCAACGAAGAGAGTTCAAATCGACTCAATGAGATGGTGAGATGAAGTTCAGTGACTGACTTCCTGAAATGATAACGAGAAGAAGCCTCCTACAAGATGAAACAAGTATAAGCTTCGAACGTTACAAAACCCAGATATGGGCAGTACGGGTAAGATAATTCAATGTGACCGCCATATGGCCAAAATTCAACCGTAGCGATGAAAGTATGCGAAAGAACATAATAAAGTCCTCAAGGCAGTACTTGAGTGTGAGTGAAGCAACCGTCTAAACACTTCTTAAGATAAAGTTAGTACTGATGGCCAGAATCCCCTTGCTTCCTTGAAGAGAAATATGAGATAAACTCGAAACGAACAACGCTAGTCTGCTATATTCGCTTCGATTTAGACTATGTAGGCAGGGTTCATACTGAGCCGCACAAAGCGGCACAGTTCCCGCACAGCGCTCGAACTGTGCTCGAACTGTGCCGCCTCAGTATGAACCCTGCCGTACAAGTGTAAGTTTATAATCTTAGCTTAGTGAAATAGAAACAGACACAGTCGGTCACTTTTGTGACGGCGATCACTTGCTCGCTCCATTGACGAAACCGTGCGCGCTCAGGGATTCGCTCCGTGCGGGCGGGTTGCCACGCCGCAGCGAGCGGGCGCCGGTGTTGCGGGCCGTAGCGATATCGCAGCGCGCCCGCATGACGGTGGGTTGCCGCACGCACGGGGGTTGATAATTTTGGACACTTATTCGGGGTTATTTTTGTTGCTTGTTTATGTGTGGTGCTTGAATGTACTCCATTAATGCGTTAAATGTTTATTTTGTAAACGAAAACATCATAACATTACAATTCGACAGAATCGCGCAAGCAAGAATGTATAACTGTCCTGTAAAAGAACAAACTAACATCATGAACAAGAACAGAAAGCAAGATAAGAGACAAGACGAACTGTCAATTCCTATGCTGCGCGTTATAATCTCTCATATAACATTTGATATTATATACAAATATAACACAAAACAATAGTCCGTAAGGTTGCTTCAAATTCTGCGTTTCCGCTCGTTTCTTAAAGGTAACCTTCATCCAAAATAGTTATTTTTTCCATGCTCTGAAAAATAAAACTGTCAAACAAACACAGCACGCCAACAGTGATATAAGGAATCACCTTTGCTTCGATCTTCAGCCTTTATCCATTTGTATTTTGCTGAAAGTAATTGCGCATCTCATTAGAACAAATAAGATTGCTATCATACCTCGTTGTGTGACCAATAAAGACATCCTTGAGGATCTAGAAATGAAGGGTTTTCTGATTAATGTTGTAGAACCACTTAGAATAAAACGTCGTGCTATCACACCTATCCTTCGTATCCGTTGAAAGAATTGGGCATATTATCAAGGCAAGCGAGTCAAGGAACCATACCTTGTCGTGTAGTCCAATAGAACTTTGAGGTAGTAGAAAATTTAATTGAGTGTTCTAGCAATCAATGTTATGGGTTCCATTTATAAAAAGCGTCGGATCATCACAAGTGAGCGTAGGCAGAATGTCACACATCGAAATGAGGTGCGAAGTCTCTATGGTAAACGTCAGTTATGGCAAAGGTCAATCAATGAATGACACGGATGACACAATGACAAATGAATGACACAAAAAACTCAAACAAACAAAAATACCATGGAAAAAGACGGGGTCATAGTATCCCAGAATGCTCTAGCATCAATATTGAAAAAGAAATACGCAGGGGAGGGCGATAAAACTATTGCAGCATAGCATCCAAAACGATGACAAATACAGCATAAGAGAAGTCCTACATAAGCTAGAGAAAATTCAAGTATAGAAGCTTTTGTTATAAAACAATCTCAAAGGAGAAAGTTAAGAAGATCTGCGCATCAATTACCGTGCCTTTTCTTTTTGAAACAGTCCGTAATTGCGCGTCTGGGCAGCGTTCCTTTACGCGCTGCCGCAGAAAAGACATGGTTGCCCGCTCACATGCCTAAACTCATGCGGCGCGCTCGCACGGGGGCTCGAATGACCCTTATAATTAGGCTGCCCGCACGCACGGAAGGGCTACTTCGCAGCCCCCCCCCCCGCACGACCCAATGCTCTGAGCGCATGCGAAAGTTGGATTGGCGCGGCAATGCTCCATATAGCGCTCTTTCAGTTCCACGCACATTTTGCATCCTTCTTCCTCGGTTCTGTTCTTCATTAGCAAAATGTAGAAAAAGGTTGCGTAAATTTATACCGCCGATATTGAGTCTTAAACAGATTCTTGCAGAAATAGTCATTGTTGATGAGCAGAAAACCTTTGACATCTCGCAGACGACACCATGAAGCTCTAAATACATTTAGGAAAATGATTATTTGCTGCTGCACTTTGAGACTGTCGAACAATTTGCTAGCTGCTTTAGGCCCCGGACAGACGTCACGCGATTTGATCGTCGCGACTCAATCGCTCACATTTCCATTCATTTTCATTTCACATTCAAAAATTTCGGGCTGGAAATGTATCACAACCGAAGTGCAAGTTGATCGGCATGGAATGATGTTGTAGCAGTTGTCTCGTCGCGATTCAGTCGCGACGATCAAATCGCGTGAAGTCTTTTCGGGGCCTTATGCGAAGCCTTTTTACTCTCTGAGTTCTATCATATCCACATGAGGCGTTGATCTTGTTCAAAGATTGCTAGTAACACCTCCGATTTTCGTTTTCACGTTGTCCTCCTTATCAAGCTTTCAGCTACTCAACATAGAAAGTGATGCTACAATGCAGAAGACTGCTTGTCATCAGTCGTATGCGCCTGAGCACTCCATCATCTTCGCAAGCGGGAAATGTACCTGCTGCCAAACCCGATAAGAATGCTGTAGATCCCCTAGCAGAGTACACCATGTTTGGGGGAATTCGAAAAACCAAGAAGAACCCTTTTCATTACACGGACAGGTTAGTGTGTTACTTCAGATTCAGTTATTAATTATGTTTTCCTATAATTCAACTTTATCTTTTTATATATCCAAAAAACATTATTTTGCCTGTCTCACGGCCATAGCTCTATTCTGTCATGCAAAATGGGGCGGCACAACAGCATTTTTTCTATGATATTGCTGTTCTTCTGATGTGGTCTTTGTTTTTCTTCCTTCGCTAAACACGCATCTGGGTTAGGAGAGCTTCAGATACGTGTCTCATTTTGTGCTTGGATACTATGATTTGATATCATTGCTAAAGATTTTTTGCTGTTAAGGGATCGTTCAGACTGCGCCTGTACCCGCCCAAATACGTCCAAATACGCCCAAATACGTCCGAATACGTCCAAATACGTCCGAATACGTCCAAATACGTCCGAATACGCCCAAACCCGCCCGAACGCCGAAACTGCCAATGCGCAGCAAATTGCATGCAAATTGGCATATTGGAGCACGCGTGGAATACTGCGTGCGTGGTGCATATATGGTAGCCACACGTAGCTCGACGTTACATACCGATTTTCATATGCGACTAGCGGGATTACCAAGATCAATCGACTTTGCGTCTGTTTTTATTTCTTCTCATGTTTGCTGACTCTAGGTGAGTTCTAACTTTCGTGCTGTGCGTTTTCTTTTCTTTTGAGCATGACGATCTTGTTGAGGTAATGCTTTGTTCTGTCTATGAGTCATTTCTTTCCATATTGATCTGGAATGAGTAGAATATGCACATTTTCTTTGTCTGTTTTCTAAGTACCTGCGTTGTCAACTTTTTGTTTATACTTTACAGGGACAGTATGCCTAACGCGTAAAGATGACTAGAATACCTCTTCGGCCCCGGCCAGATCGCTCAAAAGCGCCCGAAAGCGCTCAAGTTTTTTGAATCTCTCTTCACTCCTATCTCTCCTCCAGAGAAAGACAGAAAAATTTGGGCGCTTTTGAGCAAAGACCGGGCCTTTTTATTGCACCAGATCAATATGGAAAGAAATGACTCATAGACAGAACAAAGCATTACCTCAACAAGATCGTCATGCTCAAAAGAAAAAAAAAACGCACAGCACGAAAGTTAGAACTCACCTAGAGTCAGCAAATATGAGAAGAAATAAAAACAGACGCAAAGTCGATTGATCTTGGTAATCCCGCTAGTCGCATATGAAAATCGGTATGTAACGTCGAGCTACGTGTGGCTACCATATATGCACCACGCACGCAGTATTCCACGCGTGCTCCAATATGCCAATTTGCATGCAATTTGCTGCGCATTGGCAGTTCCGGCGTTCGGGCGGGTTTGGGCGTATTCGGACGTATTTGGACGTATTTGGACGTACTCGGACGTATTTGGACGTATTTGGGCGTATTTGGACGTATTTGGGCGGGTACAGGCGCGGTCTGAACGATCCCTTAATGTCGCACTACCTCATACTTTTTATTTTTACCTCTTTAGTAACAATATTCATAAGGACATATTTACTAACGATAAGAACTTTTTTTCCTCATATCAGGCCAAAACATAGTAGACAAACGATGGATGATGAAAATAGAAAATGATCCTTTCTTTATTTTGTCGTAGTTCTCGGCATTCTATCAACCGGGGTAGCTTAGGCTATGCAGCCGTGCAATGCATCCATAGCCGCACATAAAGGGGTATCAAGGTGGTCTTGAGAGTTTTCTCATTGTTTGGCCACTGTTTCCTTCCTTGCTTTTTGTCTTTTCTTAAAAGAAAATTCTTTATTCCATGGTGGGCGACATTCTTCTTTGCGATGGATTAACCAAATTCAAAAATGAAATCCTTTCATGCTAGGGAAAAAATGAACAAACGAAGCCAAACGTTTGATTGTTCATTCTTTCCACAGCAATGAGAAGGTGTGAAAGAATGAATTTGAAAAAAAAACTTATTTCTGGCCGCTGTTGTGTTCCTCGCATACTTCCATCATCTAGGAAATGCTAGCCACCCAGGAGAAGAGTTACACAAGCTACAAATTATCTGCCCTACCCACCTGTTAGCGACATGTACGGAAACTGGGCACAACAAATTATTTGCCCTTCTCAGTGGCGACCTGTAGGGTCACCTAGGCGCTAGAACTTATCTGCCATACTCACTTGCTAGCGACCCATAGGGTGGCTATCTGCAGAGAAAGCATGTTAATTGAAAAATTTTCCCATGATCTCGCATGATTGTGGCAGAGCTTCCGAAATGGTAGGGCTTTCTGAATGATTTGTGAACTTTATCGCTACTCGAGTAGTCCACCTTTCTAAAATGTTTTTTACAAATATATTTTTAGAAAAGAAGCAATGTGTGTGTAGAAATAATTGTAATCACTAATAAATCTGATACAGTGCTGGACAAAATCATAGGTCCACTTTAAAAAATGCCTTAACTCACTTTGTTCTCAATAGAATATTCCAAAATTTGGTACACTCGTGTGTTTACCAGCTTAATATCAGTCATTAAACGGTCTCGTTTTCATATGGTTATTCAAGAAAAAAGTCAAAATTTTTGAAAAAAAAAGCAGGCTTGAAGGCTGGTCAGAATTACAAGTCCATCTGAAGTTTTTACTGATTGAAACACTTCTTAGCTGCCGCATTGTTAGAGTGTGACACGTTCAAAAGTGTTGAACAGTTGCCTTAGTCAAGCTGTGGCACACCTCCAAAAGGACTGATTATCTCCTTTTTTGCCTTGAAAATGCTTTCACACGTATTTTGCTCTGAAAATCTGCGTTGAGCAAGAAATTCTGCAGTTTCTCAGCTGGATCGTAAGCGACGGGTTTCATCTCCCTTCCAGATGCTTTTCGACGTGATCACTGAGGAAAAAATTTGACTTTCTGCTGCTGAATCAAATCCGACATCGACTTAATCGGGAGCCTAAGCCTCAGTTTCTGCCCTAAAACCCTTTATGCGTTATCATTATAACCTCACAATATTGTAAAAGCATTTTTTACACAAAAGAAAAGTGTACGCCATACTCACAATTTATCACAAACCTCCCCTTCGTTTCTTTTTCGGAACTCGAGTTGCGCAGCGTAATGATGGTGTTACTCACTTTCAAAATAGCTCTTGCCAAGTGCTACCTCACTTAGTTTGACAGTGATTTATTTACTGGGTAGCGGATACAGCTTGTATTGTACGTTAGCACAAGATTTTCCTGAAAAATTTGATTGAAGCCACAATTAGCTTTGGTGCTTCTCGCATCCAGTTTCTGCAAGGTGATTTTAGTAAATATACTTGAGTGCTAGGATCTCTACAAAGTTGTAACCATGAAATACGGACTCCTCTTCGTAGAAACAATGCCTTTACTTTAGTTAATTTTTCTGAGGACATCTCAAATGAAGTTTGAAGGCAGAAATTTCAGCTCAGGATTGCAGTAATGTCGATGTCGGATTTGTGTCGGTAGTAAAAAGTCAGACATTTCCTCAGTGCTCACGTCAAAAAGCATCCAGAAGGTGGACGAAACCTCGTCGCTTCCAATCCAGCTGAGAAACCGCAGAATTTCTTACTCAACGCAGGTTTTTAGAGCGAAACCTGTGAAAGCATTTTCAGGACCAAAAAAAGCAGATAATCAGTCTTTTTGGAGGTATGACACAACTTGACTAAAGCAAATGTTTAACACTTTTGAATCTGTACATACCTAAAAAAAAGTTCGGATGCTAAAAAGTGCTTTAATCAGTAAAAACTCCAGGTAGACCTATAATTCTGCTTTTTTCATTTTTGATTTTTTCTTGAGTAACCATACGAAAACGAGACCCGTTTTGATGACTGATAGTAGGCTGGTAAATATTGACAACAGAGTGAGTTATGGCATTTTTTAGTGTGGACCTATAATTTTGTCCGGCACTGTATTATAGTTGCTCCGACCCACTTGCTAGCGACCCGTAGGGTCGCTAGTCACACCAAAAACATTTGAGAGACTTTAGATCAAGTAACTCTTGGTAGACAGATTTTAATTTCACAGCAATTTCTCAAGAGTAGTGGTAATTTGTTAGTAATCTCCGGAAGCATGTCTTAAATCTTTGCGGTACAATGCAGCTTGTGTACTTTCTGATTCGGTTTTCCAGGAAAGGCTGGCCGCCTGATTTTCTCTGATAGCTCGATTTTCCAGAAAAAGCGGTGTTGGTTACTCCGACTATTCGAACACAATCTATACGCACCGTCCGTACATCTGGCCCCCACTGCGCAAGCTCTTCAATCTGAATTTCGCGATTGTCGCTGTAGGATTGATTCTGATCTCGATAGATTTTGAATGGTAGGAAGCAGATTCTGTACGGTCCTAATCCCGCACTTGTCATTCAGGCTGATGAAACAAGTCAAATTAATCGGGAATGGATTCAAACCTGAAGCATCACAATCGAAATCTACCCCCAAATCAGAAGAGAAGGAGGATATATCAGACTCGGTATCGTAGCTTTCACCTTTCATTGCCATAGTTGCTACATGTGTGCCAAGAATGCATATCTTGGGTTTGCTGTAGTCATACCTTCGATAGTCAAGAGACAGAGGCTAGAAAGTGATAGTTGTTTGAGTTCCTGCCCCCTATAAAAAGTGAAGGTTGTTTCAGAAAGATAGATGGAAATTTAGAGATATGAATTAAACCAGGAGACTTGAAAAATTCATAGCAGAGGTTAGCACATCACCAAATTTGAAATCTTAACTTGGCGGTTTCCTACGCACAGTTTTGTGGTCAGAATTGCCGGTTAAGTTGGATGGCAACAAGAACAAAGTTCATTTTCAAGTGAAAAAACGCGCTGTTCAGCTGTGGCGGTAGTTGGGAGAGACCGAAAGAAGGAAAACTTGTCAACAAGTGAATTGAACATGTTAAACATGTATGAAAAGTTTTGTTGCACATCGACGCCAATCTGATTTTTGATGCGTCCTTTAAATTTTCACCCCCGCATAGTCGTTTCGTATCTTGCGACGTTGTCTGGATTCTTCCGCTCATCATTCTGAGCAAGTATCGTCCAAGCTGGAGAAAATTCGTTGCAAAAGCACTGAAAGAGAACAAGGTAAAGAAAAACGCACTTTTTAGTAATTTTCACAAAAAAAAACCGGCATGAGCAAAGAAGTAGGCTCGGCGACGTTGTCTACATCATGGACAGAAACAAAACCTATCGAATACACAAAAAAACCGAGTGAAAAGAGTTAAATTGAAGAAGAAACAAAAGGTTTTCGAAAACGCCGTTTTTCCCAGATTTCTCATTCAAATCATAAAAAGGAGTCTTGCGACGTTGTCAGAGTGAAAATAGAGATCAAGAGCTTTAATATGATATACAGATTGTCGAAATTGTGCTCCGAACAACGAAGAAAAGGGTACCAGAGCCAAATGCCCCGCGCCCCGCGTTTGGGGTAGCGAGGTAGCGCGCAGCGCGTGGAGACGCAGACGAGCAGCGGAGACAGACCAGAGCCGACGGGGCATTTGGCTCTGGTAGTAGACCTCCGCGGGATCTCAACGAAACCCTACAACATTATATATCATTCTGATCGTCATGAAACGACGAGGAGCACTGACAACGTCGCGGGTCTTGAAAATCACTCCATAACGCGATAGACCAGCATTTATGTGGCGACTCTCTGCGCAAGATTTGAGCGCAGTTTCTCGTTTTCATTGAACTCCATCGGCTTACATAAACTTCCAACGCTCAATCGCAGTTTAGAGAAAGGTTGATTGAGAAGTTTTGTCCTAGTTTTTAATTGAAATTTTAAATAAAACTCTTCTTTTCAGCAAAAAAGGCCCTAAAAACGCAATCCTTCGGTTTTTTGAGCTTCTTTTGAATGTCACTACTATATTTGGCCTCATTCACATTCATTCCTATATGGTTATGTCATTCCTTATGTCATATATCCGGGGCTTCGTCCCAAATGACTTCTGTACTTCTCTCTAGGTGAGGGTTGTGTTCTATCATGACGGTCAAAGTGAAGGTTACCAGAGTACATGGCTCTATGTATCGAAGGTATGGCTGTAGTGTAGAAAACATATCCGGCAATTTCGCCAACGATAATATCCTGTTTCGTTTGTGCTGTTCAAAATTCAAATCACGGTTTATGTTTCTAGTCGTACCTTACTTTGGAAATTGGTGTTCTGTAGCTTTGAGAATTGATGTCTGTCATAAGTCATGTTTAAATGTCATTTCTCCAGCGCGAGTCGTCCAAGCTCAAAGGCAGTGGCTAGAAAAAATTGCGACTGCTAGCTTCCACGCCTACATGGCTTTCTGGATGCGCTGGGTCTAGTGCTGTACTTGAAATAAAAACGTGCCTTTTACGGCGTTTTCTACCTTGGAGATAGCTAAGGGGATGAGCGAGGGATTCGCGCCAACATCACGCTGCAGCCGATTGAGTTACAGTCTCTTGCAGCTAGTCGCTGTTTACGGCGGGAATCCCTCGCCCATCCCCTCCAGCTATCTCCATGGTAGGAAAACGCCGTAAAAAGCACTTGGCTTTTCAAGCACAGCACTGGACTCACCGCATCCAGAAGGCCATGTGGATAGCTCACAGTCGCAATTTTCCCGGGCGACTGCCTTCAAGTCGATGTTTGTCGTGCTACAGTGACTATAGAGATTGAGTAGTTTATGTCATGGTTACGTAATTCTGTAGTACGCATCTATTAGGTTGTGTGCGTGTTTGTTCTTTTTTTCTGCGGTGATGCTAGAATATATATGTACAAGTTTTTAGCCATTGTTATTTTCGAGTTCAGTTCCCGTTAAAAACTCTACAAAAATTTTGATTATTTTGCTTTTGTGGAAAAAAATCGTTCACTTTGACAAGTGATACTCGATAAAAAATTCTCATTCAGCTGATTCGTACAAAAAATGGAATGGATCTACCTTTCTGCCTTCTACCTCCCATATGTACATTACTGTTAGTGTTGACCAGTAGTTATTTCGCTTTTTTTCTCGTTGTATCAGCATTTCTGCGAAATGGCTTGCAATGCAAAAAATCACCCGAGTTGCAGTTTCCATAAACATGGGTGAACAGAGGGTAGTTGTGAGATATCGTGGCTGGATGTAAATTGTGCGAAAGACACCTACCGTAACATCGCATGGGCAAAATCCTTGCATCGTGCCAGATGACTCCGCTTTCAATGTTCGAAAAATCAAAAATTGGTGTCGAAGTAGGTACTATTTTACAGAAAGAGTTTGCTCTATCACAGTAATGACGTTTGTGTAAGTTGTTGCAAACTGCAGAGCTTGAAACAAACCCTCATGAAGCTTTGGCGTTTGTGAGACATTGAAGCAAAGCCACTTTTGAAAAAGCTGCACTGACAAAAACGTGTTTTAGTTAATTGATGCATATTTTCAAAGATGAGAGACTTGAGTCAAGCAATTTAGTCGAAAGTGTCGTCCAGAATTCTCCGTTCACTAAAGCGAGTTCTACATTCCAGAATGTGGGAACGAAGAAGGCAGACAAGCCCAAAAAGAAGAAAATTGGGTTTCGCGAGCGAAGAATCATCGAATATGAAGATCGTATTCGCCTATATTCTACACCAGACAAGATTTTCAGATACTTTGCTACGCTCAAGATATGTGAATGCTAATACGTTACCACTTACTTCATTCACGTACTTTTTAGGTTATCGATAAAAATGATGACTCCGGACGTACCTTCGAAGTTTTTATGACGCCTGAAGATTTTTTGAGATCCTTTACACCAGGGGTGATGCAACCAAGAAAATATGGGTTGGATAGCTATAAAATTTACCAACCAGAGGTACCAAATGTTTTATAAGTTTGTTTTACCTACTAATAATATCAAGATTTTCAGAAGCATAAGCACAAATTCTCAGACACAAAAAGCATTTTTTACAAACTTGGCGAGAATGGCCTGATAAGTTTCAGCGACTATTTGTTCCTAATGACTTTGCTATCAAGTAAGTTCTTTTTCCTAAAAGCAATTCACAGTGTTCAGGATTGAAACAATCGACTAGAATAGGATATCCGATTTGGATATACTTGAAATATAAGGTGTCCTGAAAGCATGTGCACGCTGAAGTGGCGCACCCAGGATTTCCGTTGGGGGAGGGGCGACAAAAATTTTCGGACGAAGGGGCGTGGCGTCAGCCACGCACTGCGGAAAATTTTTGGGATGCTTCCCAAGATTTTTGCGGGCCCCTGACCAAAAAAATCTTTTTACGAGGCTAACTTCACCTTTTTAAATTTTTTTAAAAATTATTTTAATTACTTACAAGTACCCTTGCACATTTCTATAACATATTTAAGTAACTTTCAAAAATTTCGACCCATTCTCAAAATCCCACAAAAGTGTAATTGATAGCACCTCTCTCGAATCTTGATCACTTTTTTCAGCGAGTAGAGTCGAACTTGTGTTAGCAAACTAGCTTCGAACAGCTACTAAACCAGAGGATTTTGGCTATCATTTTGAAAACAGATACAGCACTGAAAAAGAGTCTACAATTGGTGACAGGCGGAGAAATCGCGCCTGTGGACTGCCTTCGTTTTCAAAACACTGAAACATACTGTCTGATGTCAATGATAATAATGACAATCATGGCGCCCCATGACATACCCCCATCAACGCAGCACTTTTGCTTTTTACTATGCTAATTATTGTCGGTGTGCTGAAATTTCCACCCATACTTAGCGTATCGTTTTAGCATCACCAAACGATTTTGCGCTTGCTTTCAAGATTTTGGATATAAACGGTGATGGAGCACTAGATAAAGAGGAGTTCCACAAAGTCCAGGTACGATCATACTTACTTGTACTTAAGAAGAGAATCTCGAGAGAGAGGGTATTTTAAGCATCTCATAATGTCGCAAACCACCGTAGGACAACGTCATCGTGACCACATCACTCCAAACTCATCATTCCGTGTCGAATCGAACTCTGCTCTTGAGCATTATTTCTTTGGTGCAGATGGTACAAAAACACTCTCTGCTACAAAGTTCCTGGAGTTCCAGGTTGTCGCTTTGCTCACATCCTATGCGGATTTTGATATTGCTGCAATTAAGAAGTCCCTCTATGATGACATCTTACGAATGGAATTTGAAAGAAGAGATGCTTTGGATGGCGTTGACGGCCTAATCTCTGAAGATAGTTTTGCACAGCTGCTGCTAATGCATGCGCAGATACCTGATAAAAGACAAAAAATTATGAAGAAAAGGGTCAGAAGGAAGTATAAGGATCATCAACAAGGAATCACATTTGACGAGGTAATTTAGAATGATCCATTGTGGGCAATCTGTAAAGGGTCAGTCTAAGACTAACCACATCATAACATCTCATTCAGACGCGTGCGTTTTTCCAATTTCTCTACCACATTGAAGATGTCGATATGGCGCTCCATTTCCACCGCATGGCCGGCTTATCCATTGATGCGGAGTTACTGAAAAGGTGATAAATTTGCCGAATATTTTAGCATCCAGCAAGATTGTTATAACTTTTTGATAGGATTACAAGTAGATTTATCCTAACCAGCAATAATCCAGGGTTGCTCGGAAAATTACCGGAGTGGAGTTGAGCGACCACGTTGTCGATGTGGTGATAACCTTATTTGATGACAACTTGGTGAGTCCGTAGATCGCAAGTTAGAATAGCAAATCTCACCGATTAAGGACGGTAAACTTTCAAACAACGAGATGGTAGCTGTGATGCGGCGACGAATGCGACGCGGATTGGAACATCCGCGTGATACGGGTCTATTCCGCTTGGTGGATGCCATGCTTATTTGTGGCAAACGCTCATACCATGCTAGTCCATTGCCCTTCTATTGAATGGTTTCACATCCAGAGACCAGTCGTTTCTCTCAGTTATGCTGTAATTATCAATGTTTTGAACTGTAGCTGTATTCATCAACGAACCCACTAGTTTCCGAATCTAACTGAGTAGGTAACCCACGAGAACGGTATTCACGAAGTCATTGGGTTGGCGAACCCAGCGCAGACTTGTGCATATCGAATCTACCCCGTGATTCGTTGATGGGTACGCCCACTGGTTTGACAGCTCTTGAGTACAAGCAATCACTAATCTAAAGCTTACGAGTAGCATGAATTATCGAGAGCTTACTCGGGAGAATGCCGTAGCAAAAACCGATTGAAAGCGCTGGAGGAAGATTTTCCTAAGCATATCGCACGGAGGTTTGCCATGCTGGAAATAATTCTTACTCATAGATCAATGTCAATATTCGACCACAAGATGGTCTCATTTTGTAGTGTGAATAAAAAAGTTTATTGTTGGAATATACTCTGAGATGCGTACAACACAATGAAACAAAGATCTCCGGTAGCAATTTCTAGCAACATGAAATTAATGTGAAATACATTTCACAAAAACCAATAGTAATTCCATGGTTACATGTAGCCATGCATTCAAATACAATTCAGATGTCACGTCAAGGAAACAATGAAATACCCGTGAAGTCCACATTTAAACGCCGTCGATAGACGGCACAGTGGTGCTAGAAAAGCGATTCAACATGTCACCAAAAACATAAAAAATCATACTCAACAGAAAGGTGAAAGGATCTCATAAGATAGTTTCCCGAACCTGCTCATCTCATCATCGGACATCACTCGCAGAATTTCTATTTTGGTCGAGGCTGCCATCCAGGTGGTGGTAAATTCGTAGGCGCTATCTGCGGTGGTGGAACCGAAGTATTCGGTAGTAGTGGTATTATGGGTGGTTGTAAAGGAACGATACTTGGAACGTACAAATTCGGCCTAAAAGTAGCCATGTGAAAAACGGAACAATACATATAAGTGAACTTACAAAACGAGAGAAGGAGGAGGGATAGACGGTGGAGGGATGGAGAAGTTCGGAACGGCAGGGGGTGGCGCATCCCATCTATTCCTTGGTGAAGCATATTTGGGGAACTAAATGAGAAGATGATACGTAAAATCAATTGAACCTAATTCAAACCTGTGAAGTTATCGGAGATGGATGATTGGCCGAAGATGCACCTATGGGAGCTGGCGGGGGAGCGATGACCGTTATTGGTGGTGGCTGAGCCACAACAGGGGGAGGAGCAGCCTGTTGAATAAGCGAAAAGGAAGTTCTGCGCTCTGCTGAAGCTGAAGGTGGCGGCGGCTGTGAGAGAACCGGTGTGGTAACACTGGTCTTTCTCTGGAATTGGAAGTGTACCAAACATAAAGACATCAAAATCTTGGAGTATCTCACCACAAGCAGAGGAGTTTGCGGCCCTGTTGGTGGAGGAACGCTAAACATCGGAGACGACGCAGTTGTCAATAGCCCCAGATTAGCACCAGAATTGTTAGAGCTCTGCATAAGTAAAGGAGGTTGTAAAGTAGAGGACAAACAAATCAAAACAAACCGCTAAAGCACTAGGGGTAGTGGTTGCAGCGGTTGCAGATGCGCGCGTTTCCAAAGAAAGATTCGTGATTTTCTCGCTGATTTCTACTGGTCTAGCGGGATCGCTGATGGTCGTTGGTCTCACGAGTGAGTGCTGATCCTGAGATAGATGTAGATATTAGCTTGAAAGGCTCTTTCACAATTGGAACAAACAAAATAGAGGTAGCACAACTCAGCACCGACTCCACAATTCATACAATGATCAAAAACCTCCAAAGCAGATCTAATCAAAATCAATACAGCATTAGTAAATAAATATGCAATGCAAACGCCGCATTAATGAGTGCGAACTAGAAAAGTACACGGATCACCTACCTTATTGATATCAGGTGCTGAAGCAACTGGTGAGATGTTTACGTTGGTTGTTACCTGATATAGAGTGTCGTAAGACTGCCAAAGATCTGGAGTCAATTTTGACTTACTGCACTGTGATTAGCGTCCGTACTAGTCCTCTCGCTGCTACCTACAGCGCTAGTTGTTTGAACACGATTGGTAGTCGATGTGCTTGTTGCTGTCGTTATTGAAGCTAAATAGATTACTGTGAGGAAAGGTCGAGTGCCAAAAGCAATATCAGTGATGTATTATATTTGAAATGTTACTAACGTTTCCTGTAAGGTTCGTCACCATAAGTGCCGCTCCAGTAACCTCTCCTTTTATTATACTTGCTAGAATACCAAGGCCGCCCTTCTTCGTTGAACCTGCCAATGAGATGATGATCAGCTGGATTTCATGTACTCCAAAAGAGAAATCTTACTTAGCGATCCGATCGATGGCAATCTGAGCATCCTCCATAGCGGGATCCACATAAATCACACTTTCAAGAAATTCAGATACAACTGGCATTTCCATGACAGCTGAAATCATTTTTTCAATGGTCAACTTGGCAAAGTTATTATGTAGAAAATACCCTTCAACTCCAAGAATGTCTCTATGGGTACCGCAGCCGTTCCTTCTCCTCTATTCTGTCGCAGATGTCGAGCATGTCGTTGCTGCATAACCTCATCGGATGGTACAATTGTTACACACTAAATTGAAAACAATAGGTACGACTTAATCGTTGTGGCATCCCACCTGTCGGAAGAATCCCTCAAAGAGAGCGAGGCGCTTTTTCCTCGTATCTGGATCGCAGTTAGTAAAGTCGAGGATGTAATTCCGTCGTCTTCTTGCAGCCAAGGATAGAAGCCTGTAGTTACAGTTGAGTCAGAACAACGATAAGTGGCAGGACTGTATAATACAGGATTCATAGAATACTTACCTATTTCTAGCTTTTCCTACCAAACCCAAGACCATATCCCACCTTCCTATGTGACTGCTGTTTCTTGACACACCATTCACCTAGAAAATAAAACTTCTCCTACCGTATATAACATGAATCTATTGTAAATTCAGCATAAGACAGATTAGGAAACTGGGATGCGGTACCTACCTTCATAGAAGCTAGAATTGTGTCAGAGCTGATAAGTGTCCAGTGTTCACTAGGATGTTCACGTATATAACGACGAACCCAAGTAGTCTTTCCAACACTAGGTAGACCGACCTGAATATTTTGAGGGAAATGACGCAATACGGTACAGCTCATACAACTAGTAAACAAATGTGGCAAAAAGAAAAAAGACCAACCATCATCAAGACTGTGCAGTCAGATTTGCTATCCGGGGGAACAGGAGCACGTTCAGTTTGTGAGCTAGGCACGGCGTTGGGAAACACCCACTCTGGGCGCCTGCAGAAACCATAATTATGAAAAGTCAGCATTCATCAAATTAACAATACCTGATCCATTCATCCTCGCCGCCAGGAAATGTTCCGAAGTTCACCGTCACACGACAGTTCTTGACGCAAATGTGCGGGTACACGGCCTCATCATCAGGTATAGTGATATTAGTGAACGCTTCTCCCAAGCTATCGTTATTCTTCCAGTATCTTATACTTTTTGTTTCAAAGTCCTGGGAAGAGATAGTGAGAAAAAGAATGACAGAAAGAAATTATTACCATCTGAGCAGTAACAATATCTCCAACGGTGAAAGGTTCACCATAATCTGTGAATAAGTTGTTACTCGCTTTCTTACCCAACGATGTAAAGCAGTAGGTTCCTGGATATTCACCCAGCTGCAAAGCAATGCAGTAGTGAAAGGGGACAAATGCGCTGCAAATAAACTCACCACGAGCGGGGCTGATCGAAGAGAGAAACCCACACGGATGTCATTGGGATCCAATTCGTCGAAAGGCAAATGCCTTGTCGGAAGCAAATCCAAAATCTAAGAACAAACATGAAAAAAAAAGACATGAAAACAACGAGATTTACTTACCTTGACTTGAAATACTATGGACTTCACAGAATTCTCATCAGAACCGCCTTCATCGACGGTACCATCGGTTCTGCAGAAACGTGAATAATCAGTCTTGTGAAACAGGTGTATCAACCCCTCTTTCACGATGTTATGTTATATTTATGAATAAAGAGGTGCAAAAAGCTGCAAAAATATGTCTAGCTAGCCTAGCTACAGAGATTGGACAAGATCAAAATCTTGTTCGGAACTGTAGTGATAGCAATATCACTAAAACGGAACTTACTGTCGGCACGACCGGAAGATACCGTGAGTGCTCTTCACACCTCCCCAAACAAGAGCCAAACCGTCCTGATTGTCGGGATCGATTATCCAGTCATTATCCGGTGCTCCTTTCAAATGAAGATCGCCATTGTCTAAAGGAACAGAAAGGTAACCTCGCGAGATAGTAGAGCTAGCAACTAGTTTATATCTAGCGAATGACTCTTGCACACAGGGACTTACAGAAATCTATTTCAAACTCTTCAGTTGAGACGGGAACTTTTTCTTCAATAATAACCACTTCATCTTTACGTTTTGGCTTGATTCCAGCGGCGACCTGTGTAAGGGAAATTGGCGGAATCACTACATTTATAGCAAATTCACAAACTTCAAAAAGATCATCATCATCGGGCACAGGTTCTCCGTGAAAGCTATCCATCGGTTGCACAACCTCTTCTTCTTCGTACTCTTCATCATATGGCATCTGCGAATACTGTGAATCTGAAAGCACTCTCAATACTTGCATGTGCGATTTTCAAGTGGATCTAGGGCACCTTGCTTCTTCCCTAAACCTTGTAACACTGCTGATGCACGCTGTAGGAGATGGCGAGGATCTTCAAGCAGCGCAGGATCGCTGCAACTGCAAAATGCATTGAGAAATGTCACAAGCCCGTCGTAGAATAGCAGGAACACCGAACATTCGCTTCAAAACATGCTTTGGTGATTGCCGAAATGAATTTGTCTGCGAGGTATACAAATGCGCCACTAATCTACCATAGATAAAGTTACTGGAAACTTCAAAACCTTTGATGAAATATCTGATGAGAATGCGAGTAAACGAAAAATTAACATGACATAGCAGTAAACCAGAGCTACTCACGGTTTCATTTCCACCTCATTTTCTTCAGCGGGAGGTAAAGTCGCGTCATTAGCACTGGGAACGTCCGCAAGGTTGGCTGCCGTTTCGGATGCAACTGGCACCTTCTTTGGAGTACGTCGTACGACCTTTATTATGTTCCCAGAACCATCCGTCCGCAAGAAAGTTTGATTGGATAAGCGATCGGTTTCACCCTCAGATTCCTCTTCAGAGTCATCACTCAGAGACAGAACGTCGCTGTCTCCGTCTTCGATGACTTCCTCCTCTTCTTCGTCCTCGTCCATGGGCGATGCTGGTTGAGCGGTAGTGGGTGAATAGCGCTCTTCGGCCGGCAATTCGTTCATGTCGAGCTCTGGTGTCTGCGAGGATACCAGATCCTGTATGAATGCTAGTCTCATTTCAGAGAAAACTAAAAACTGCAATTAACAGAATCAGAACTGACATCGAGAGTTACATTTCTTGTGACTACAGCCGATGGCACATAACTTTCGAATCCTTCGACAGCTGAGCTTTCCAATGGATCATACTCCTTAACAATGTTGAGCGATACCGATAAGATGACTGAATAAAGATCTAACCTCATCGTCTTGCTGAGCTGCCTCTTCAACTGTTTCACCAAGTCCAGCACTAGTTTCACCTTGGCTGATTGTGCCAGTGTCTTTGGCCTGGGTAATGCTACTTTTGTGATCTTGTGAATCAGCGTTGGTGCACCGCGTATTACTACGTTGAGAAAATGGTATCGGCACCTATGGCACTATGCTACAGCAATGTTAAAGCACCAGTTGGAGACGCTTACTTCTGTGGCGGGCAGCAGTTCCCCACTAATTTCATCAAATGGTTTTATCGAGGAGACAAGGAAGACAACATATTCCAAACAAGCCTTCACATCCGACATTACTGCAAACAAAAACTGAACTTCCAAATCCCAAACGACAAACTTTTCAAAATTACTTACCAGCAAGCTCTTCTGCTCTATTAGCAACATCTGGAGATGGCGATTCTCTGCAAATAATATTGTTACAATGAACAGTATAAAAGAAAACATGAGGTTTGCTGAACAACCAACCTCTGAACTTCGGCAATTGCAGGGGCAGTTTGCTGATGCGCCTGCTGAAATGCTCTCGTTGCATCAAAACGAGAAAAAAAAACAAGGCAAAAATATTTCGCGGGACTTACCTTGGTGGATGCGATCAAGTGAGCAGGTTTCAAACGTTTTGGGGGAGGAGGCGGAGGTGGAAGCTGTTCTAAGGAAGTAGCTTTTGGTCGCCGCGGAGGAGGGGGTGGCGGAATGTCCTTTGCAGAAGACTGTGGAGGAAGCGGTGGAGGTGGAGGCGGAGGTGGTGGAACCAAGAGATGCGCAGTATCTGCTGCTACGGCAGGTTTCTTCTGAGTTTTAGGTGGTGGTGGAGGAGGAGGAAGAAGAATTTGTGGACTTTTGGGCGAATTCTTGACTGAAGAGGTTCCCGCGCAGGTCTGTTCGAACCGCTTGTATGCTTCCAACGCAGTAAGTGACATGTCTGAAGAAATGTGGAGCATACAACACCATATGGTGTACTGGAACTACGAAACAACTGGGAACAAACTAGCAAACCATTACCTTCGGGCTTTTCTGCAGGAGCATGGTCGACAACGACGTCGTTCTCGAGCCTTCTGACTTCTCTGATGATTTCAGGCGAATTTCTATCTTCCGGCCTTCGCATAGTTTGCAAGAATTCTGTTTGTTGAGTCATGATTGAGTCGAGGAGGTCGGGTCTACTTTCACGAACACTAGTCGTGACAACAGACGTTTTCTTGGAAGTAAGTACGGTAACCCCTATAAGCAGATATTACGTGGCTGTCAAAAAACTTTTTTTTTTCGAAAAAATTGCCTCACCAGAAGTAGATGTGACCGACAAATGTTTATTAGAGATTGATTTCTTTCGTGTTTCCAACTCCTTCGGCTTTTCTCTAGACGTTGAGGAGCCAGAAGCAAACTTCGGATTACTCTTTTTGAGCTGAAATGCACGAGGTGTATTTTAAAGCTTAACATGATGCTGGGGAGAAAAACCCGAAAATTTCAGAAAAGGGACCTTGTGAAAAAAGCACACCTGAGCTAATCTTTCTGCCCATGCTTCCGTTATAGGCTTGTGTGTAGGCAACTTCTCCGATCTGTTCGACACACTTGTACTAGAAGGTCTGTAGAATACTAGCAAGAAGATACCAGCCTTGTTAAACAACGTATGCTAGACAACTAACCTTCTAGCATGATGGCGATCATCTTCATCTTTTTGATGTGACAGTTTCCTTGCTGAAAATGTTCGATGAACAATTGTAAATTTTGATGAAAGCTGATAAGAAGTGTTACCATGCGATTGGGCTCCATGGGCTGATGTAATCTCAGAAGGTGAATCCTTCAAATAAGAGGAAGTAAATGAACGCTAAAGCAAAACGAGGCAAGTTGCATACAAACATACCCTCTTTCTAGAAAGATCACTTCCAGCAGATAACCTGGAAAGGAAGTTTAGTGAAGGTAGAGAGGAACTACACCCAATGACTAACCTTTTCGAAGATATTCGATTCCGTATCAAGATGCAAGAGTCATCGTCAGAACTTTCGGTGTATACTGCAATACGAGGTTTTTCTAGAATTAACTTTCATGTATAAAGCAAACCAATGAGACTTACTACTTGCATCTGACGTAGCCGCTTGAGAAGAAGATGCCTCAGTCCGTTCTCTGACTGAAACTAATCGAATAAATCTCCACACAGGAGAAAAAAGTAAGCAATTCCTTTGTGGAACAATAAACGATTCCTACCTTCACCGGGAGATGCACGGACTTCTGCATTCTCCGCCTGAATCAAACACGGTAGAGGACGCTAAAATTGAAAGCGTCTTTTGAGCCTCAGAATAGTGAAAAAAAAGTATTTGCATATAACATGGAAGCTCACTATTTTGGGAAGGATGGATAAGATAGGTTGTGTGATAGAGCATGTGGGCGCTGGCTCAACAGGAGGGTTCTGAAAATGTAATTTCAATTTGCGGAATTTTTCGCTCTAATTATCGATAAAAATTGAAGGCTTCAAGGAAAAGATCTCGTAGTTGCACACTTACCGCCTCCTCCGCAACCTCCTCGGGTACTTCTGTCTTCACCTGCGCCGGCTCTGCATTCGTTTGTTCTTCTGCAGCAGCTACCTCTGCGCCTCCCGGCGGCACTGGGACTTCCTCAGCGACGGCAGTTCGACGAGACCTTTGCTTCCGTGGACGAGCGGCTGTATATGCAAGTATTCAAGATTCTGAAAGGCTATTGTGAGCTTACAGCAACTTACTGGGAGTTTCAGCAATAGAAGAAGGAGATTCAGGCTCTTCTTTGACTACAGTGCGCTTTGCTCTCTTTCTGCTTGAAGTGGATGCACTACCGGATTTTGCGGGTGCCTGAGAATTACAAAGTATGCGTGACACATCAGAATTTAATTTAGTGTTGCACGCTTTACCTTCCGCTTGCCCCTGGTTTTTGTTGCAGAACCAGAAGTGTCACTTGAGGGCTGAGAGACCTACAAGAGGTAGCTTACAATCATCTTTGATGATTTAAAAAAAAACTCATGGTTCTTTCTTTACATCCTCAACCTAGTAATTTTGAGATATGTCATTATCGAGCGTGTGGTGAAACAGCTGAAGCTCATTGAACGAAAAATTTCAAATTGGATTATCCGAAACTTGTGATGGTGAGCGTTTTGTCCCAGTTTTTTTTGTACGGAACCACTTCTACTGATAAAGATGGCATAGAGCGTCAAATATCCATTAAACACAACAAAGCACTTGTTCTGACACGTTCTGGGCCTGTACTCCCTCTAGGACAGAAACGGCGTAAATGAATAATTCTCAGCTTACAACTATCTTGCTCACCGTAGGAGTTTCAGTGGTTTCTCTGCCATCGATGCTTGGTTGTTGTGGCGTTACATTAGATGCGATAGAAGCAGTTTCATTGTGTTCACTGGCCTTATCAGATATAACGCCATTGATGGAGTCAAGCAATCTATCGATGAGATCTTCCCTAATCCCAACACGACTGAGTCCTCTCCGTGTAAGTTCCTGCAAAAGAAGAATACGAAAGATGAAAAGTCACACAAACAAATCGAAGTCCCCTTCGAATGGTAGAGGAATGCGGGTATTGTTCCAAGCTTATATAGAAACTGCGTACTATTTTGACACATCGAACTGTAGGGGATGAAGATATGAATATACTAATGAACATTCAGTATTTTATGGAAAAGCTGATGAAGCAACCCATACTCTCATACCAATTACTATGGAGCACGTGTTAAAACTGACAAGAATTAAATATGAAAACCTTCAAACATTAGACTGAACATACCTGTCTTAATCGAGCATCTGACCACAAAAATATCGTGGACGGCGACAAAATGGAGTCATCAACTCTAGCGCAGCTGCGACGAGGTCTACTTGACATCAAGAAGCTGGCTCGATATGCTTAGCGAATTCCAATGTAGTAAAACACACTCAAGTTCAGAGCAGCACCAAATTACGAAAGTATAGACTTCTTCTTTGAGAAAGGGCGAAGGAAACGGAACGATTTGCCGCAATCGCGACGCAAGCGCGCGTTCATGACACTAGCATTGGAGCGCGCTATTTCCTGGGAAGAACATGCGGACTCAACGCTGGTGATATTTTTTCCCCTTTCTTCTCCTTTTAGATATCACCAGCTGAGTATGAAGAAAGCGTCATTCATATCAGACGTCAACGAACATCGTAATATTACGGGCCGTCCGAATCTCAATCAGGCCAAAATTGGCATGGCGGGAGTCGTGTAGGTTTTGCGTCGGTCTACTGCTACTCTCTCTGAAATTTATTACAGATGTTTGTTATAAAACTATGTGAGATTTTATGGCAAGTTAATATCTTTGATTACATATCAAAAGTTGGCATGGTAATCTACTACTTTTAAAGGCAGTGTCCCGGCAAAATCTAGCTCTCCAGTTTTTCATCTTTTCGGAGCGCTTTCTCGCCATGCTGAAATCCACATCTGGGCTTTGCAGCGCAAATCTCAGACATTCGCAGTTGTCACCCGCAGGTGGACCGCCCACAAAATGGCTGATCGCACCAAAACCCTGTGCACCGGCGGGAGACATGAATTTAGTGTTACCCGGATTTTACTGCGATTTTGCCCCAATTCGCGGATTTCGAAATACCGTCAGCAATTCTAGTGCGTCGCAGTTTCGCAATTCTATGCGTCGCAAGTTCTCGCAAGTTCAAGCCTCGCTATCGCCTCAGAGCACCTCAGATTCCCGTACCGAATCAGTTGCTCAATTATTCATAAACTTTTAGATTTTAATATCCCCGAGGTGCGAGAAATTACAAATGAGATTCTCGCGAGGCTTGGAGAGTTTGGCGAGACTGCGATGGCAGATTGTCGATCGAGAAGCATTGTTATCGCAGGCCTCCCTGAGCTCAGTGGGGAACGAATGGGCGCACTGAACCAGCTGCTTCAGTGAGTCAACAGGATACAGAAAAGAAAGTCCGTGAAGTGTTGGATGTTCTTGATTTGGAGTGTCGGTCTGTTAAGATCTTTCGAATGGGAAGGGGAACGACTGGTATGCCGCGCTTGATAAAAGTATTAGGCTGTTGCAAAAACAATGTCGGTTTTTGTAGGCCCATTTTCCGAACAACTTTTTTCCTCCAAAATTTCTTTTTTGTTATGAATTCCGCATATCATTTGAAATCCTTCAAGTACTTTCTAATAGTTGTGAAAATTGGCGTCTATCTTATCTGTGAGAATTTCATCAGTCTCAAACAGCTGCACTCAAAATCGAAAATTCGTTGCTTTAACTCCCTTAGCAACAATTCAAGCGCAAATGAACGGATTCTTTTCAAAACGTAGCTACTGTATTGGTTGAGCATTGTTTACCTATAGCATGTTTAAGTGGATTTCTCAAAATTATCTGAACCGAGAAGTCGACCTCCGAAATACACACTCGCTGCTGGCATGCTATGGGCCCAAAGTTTCTCATAATTAGGGCAATCGTCAAAGCTTCGCTCATTTCTGTATGCTTGAGGCAGGACACCTTTCCTACAATTTTCGCAGAAAAGCTTAGCATTAAGTGTATGAAGAATTTCAAATTTCCATAATTTTGGACTTTCCGGCCTACCACAAATAGGCTCGAAAAAGTGAACAATTTTGAACTTCTATCTTTTCTTTTCGCAAGACTATTTTGTTGATGTCTTTCCTAAGCAGGCGTATACTACTGGCTTGCGTCTACAAAACAAACTGATTAGCAGTCAAATGAGCAAAACTTGAACGGAGTTGTAATCTCTCAAAGACGAGCTTTTTAAAAGAAAAACTTTCGGTTTTTTGCCGCATGGTTTTCTTCCCGCTGATGCAGTAAATGCAGGTGCGCATCAGATTAAGAAATGTTTAATGCTTCTCATGGTTTTGATTGCATAAAAAAATATGAAGACTGGACAAAGTTATAGCCTTTCAAAGTAAAACTTTGCAAAACGGACATTATTTTTGCAACAACCTAATGGAATTGCCATCAAGGAGTCATTAAGCCTTCGCTTTTTCCCGAGCCCGACTGCTTAAAGGCAGCGTCCAGGCAAATCTTGACAATCGGGGTTCTGATGTGGAGAGTAATTCTGGGGCCCTAATTATGACATTCATTTTCATTTCTCATTCAAAAATTTCGGGCTGGAAAAGTATCACAACCGAAATGAAAGTTGATCGGCATGGAATGATGTTGCAACAGTTGTCTCGTCGCGATTCAGCCGCGACGATCAATTTGCGTGAAGTCTGTCCGGGGCCTGAGGTCTAAATCGAGAAAGAACTCAAGAAACCTTTGAACTTGTGGAAGAATGTGAAGTGGTGTGTTTCCAGAGCATCTCACAGGAAGACTGAAATCACCAGCAATCATGATATTAAGAGTAAAATGAATAGAAGCTAAGAGGAGATCAACAAGCACATCATTCAGATCAGAGGCGGAGCTGGGAGGTCGGTAAACACATATGAAACGGGTTTTGGAGAGAGGCCAGGTTGGTATAGATCAACCAACTTTATCTCACAACTGCAGTTATTCTCATTTGCAATGCTCTCACATAATAGCGTCGATTTGACCAATATGCAAACTCCTCCCCCCCCCCCCCTCCCCTCCCCCCTTCTTACGTATTCTGTCAGACCGAAAAACCATGTAAGGCAGATAGAAACCATTTCGGCATCACTTATTTTCGAAGATAACCATGTTTCCGTAATGAAAATAATATCGAGGAGTTCAGCAGTCAAAAAAATGGTGTAACAGTTGTAATGTTTGCTAAAGACCTAACATTGAAAAGTATACATCGCAAAGAATCTCCTTGCCTACAATTTAGTTTCCCTGCATTGCAGAAGAAACGCGGTATGAGAGAACTGCGGATTGAAAAGAAGCTAAATTGTTGCTAGTCAATGAACTGGCAAGCACCAGCTCACCCTTGCAGACAACAAATCTTTAAAGCTACGATTCTGATTCAGCTGTTTGGCCTGATCCCGCAGCTCACGCTCCTTTTCTCTTTTCCGGGCCGTAATGCTTCGACGGATGTTGACTCCCTATGACAGGGGGAATCCTTGAAGGTAGCGTCCAGGCAAACCTGGACAATCGGGGTTCTGATGTGGAGAGTAATTTTGGGGCCCTAACTAAGACACTGCCCAAGCGGCAGCTCAAATGGTGAACTCACAATTGAGATATTCGCCTCCAAACTGGACCCCGCGATCGTATGCGCATGGATTCATGGCGCGACACATCAGGACCCACGCGTGTCGCTCCATGAAACCATGCGAATACGATCGCGGGGTCCAGTCTGGAGGCGAATATCTCAACTGTAAGTTCACCATTTGAGCTGCCGCTTGGGCAGTGTCTTAGTTAGGGCCCCAAAATTACTCTCCACATCAGAACCCCGATTGTCCAGATTTGCCTGGACGCTGCCTTTAAGCAGTCGGGTTCGGGAAAAAGCGAAGGCCCAACGATTCCTTGATGGCAATTCTATTAGGTTGTTGCAAAAATAATGTCCGTTTTGCAAAGTTTTACTTTGAAAGGCTATAACTTTGTCCAGTCTTCATGTTTTTGAATGCAATCAAAACCATGAGAAGCATTAAACATTTCTTAGGCCCGTATGCACGTACATCCCCGCGGGGAGGGGAGGGGACCTGAGAGGGAAAGCGCCATATCTCCCTGCTCTAGATCAGGGCCCGGCACGAGGTGGGCAAACGGGGTTTTCCAAAACGAATTCCCCTTTGATCCCAATAAATTTCACGAATACCCCCTTGAGCCCAAAAATGACGTTTTGTGCTTGTGCGACGAGATTACCGGCGACACTTCGCCTAAAAGCGCTCAAAAGCGCCCAAATTGCTCAAATTCCTCAAATTACTCCTCAGCTGGATCAAGATAGAAAACAGGAAGAAAAATAAGCAAGAAAATGATTAAGGAATGAGAAAATATCAAAGAAACGCAGTCATAGGAATGAGAGACGCCGCTCCCGCGCGTATCGATTGACTGGAGCGCGCTTTCCATCTTAAAAAGCTAGGCTGCTGGTGCGATTTTGGGCTCTAACAAGGTCAAGAGGAGGAGTTTCGGAACCAAAATTTCACCATGTAGTAAACTTTAGGTGTACAACAGATTTATGTAAAACTTTTGAAAAAATTATGTGAACTGAGAGTTTTGCCGACCTCAGGTGGGAATTAGGTCGGCAAATGCCGACCTAATTTTGAAATTAGTTAAGGAAACTTTTCATTCACATAAGTTTTTCGTAATATTTCATACTTAGTTACTTAGTCCTACTGCGCATACACACACCGAATCCCGCGCGATTTCGTTACCTCTGCGTTGCAAACGAGCCATTTTTCCATTTCTTTGGTAGCGCAAAATTTTCAGAAAAAAGTTTGCCACAACCTTCAGTCACATAATTTTTTAATGAAACTCCTCAGTTAAGCCCTGCAAGTCCATGTGCATGTACTTACCAAGTTTCATGCCATATCGTTCATCTGCGCGTTCCAAACGAGCCGTTTGAATTCACATCTTCATTTACCAGTTTTGCGAAATTCTCGGAAAAAATGCTAATTACTCGTTCCGTTCACATAAGTTTTTGATAAATTTTCATACCATGTTTCCACTAGCCTCTCTCCGTTCGCTTACAAAATTTGGTGCCATATCGTTACACATACATTGAGAACTAGTCATGCATGCTGTTACAAATAGCATCGCTTGGGCGACGTCGCGCGTGCGGCAATTAGCGACGGCGCGGTTTGACGCGCGCGAACTCCAGTGTTCGCCTGTTGAGGCACATAACATGTCAAGATAAGTAGCGAGCATGAACGACCAATTTTTTTCCGGGGCTCCGCCCCGGACCCCGCAAAAACGATTTCCCCTTTGCTTTTTGGCCCCAAAACGATTTCCAGCTTGTCATTTGCCGACCTCGTGCCGGGCCCTGCTCTAGATATCTTTCTTCTTTCTTCTCTATCGTGCTTATGAGGGTTCTCATACCCTTATACCTGCGCATAATAGATGCCAGGTTACTATACAAGATACAAGATTAAATATTCACTATTTCTTCCGATCCCCTGGGGATCCCCAGGGGATCATCTCACATTTTCAAAGTCGTTTATCT